TGTTGTGTAGATTTGGTCTTGAAAATGCTGCGAAACCTGCAATTTAGGCATAAAATTATAGGCTGTTGAAGGGCCAGTGTGTTCCATAACCTGCGGTATATTTTCTCATTTTAAGTGGTCACCAGAGATCAGAGTACACTCTTTGGCTCTCAAATGCAAATGTGAGAACCAAGAGGCCTTTCTTAGAGTGTGCAGCGTTTCCAGCTTCCTTGAGAGCTCAATGCACTGCAAATATTTTTCCACTGATGTTTGTGACAAATATTGGTTCTCAAACTAGAGCGGGTGGAAATGAGTGCCAACCACCGAAAGGCTTGACTCTCAGGCCCAGAACGTGTCTCTTACTGGTGTATCTAGCTCCCTCTACCGGCCATGTGTCAGAGCGTCCCGAAATTGGAAACGAAGCACGTGACAAGAGCCGTTGGGAAACGCTATGGATTTTCGCGGTACTGGCAGTCGATCGTTAAAAGCGCTGGCAATGGAGAAGAGCAGATGCGGGCATCTCTGGCATTTTGGCGTCTTGACTCGCGGCTACTGGAGCTTCTGCCAGCCGGGCATTTGCAGAGCGAGCAGCTGCAGAGGAGGCATCTACGTACCACATTGGCGTCTCCTGCCGTGCCACCGTCAGTATTGCGTCAAACAGCAGCATTACGCAGCTTTGTTGGTGTCCCGTAGAAGATGCAGCAAACGGAACAGTCTGAGACGTGTCTGGGCACCCTAATGATAAATGGGTTAGCACCGTCTCCATGCCAAACAGCCGCATGTCACAATTGGCCCGGCATCTCTCGCAGCAACTCCACTCGAGTGTGCGGACGGCCAACCTGGAGACGAGCCTGCGGCTGCTGGCGCAAGGGGCACAGCCTGGGATGCTGCATCCCGTGAGGACACTCCCTTGTGACGCAGGAAAGATGGTCGCCACTCGGCTACCCTAGTTGCCACTGTACACGATTTCTCGCAGGGTGCGGCTGTTAAGGGGAACGCCACATCCTGTGAGGGCGGGTGTCGTGGTGATCCTGCTTTACCACTAATAGCTGTGATGACGACTGTGCGTGGAACCGATGTCATTGCTAATAACTCTTCCAATATTTTTATTTTTTAAACGTGGTGGCGTTTAAAAAAGAAAGTTCCACCACTTTGAAAAGGGTTGAGACAGATCCCAAAGGTGGTCGAAGGCGGCACCAGAAAACTGCAAGTCTCGAAGCCATGGCCGGTGCCTCGCAAGACGAAGTTTCCTTGGGTTACCGTAGAAGCCATCCGAGTCTTTTGAAAAAGCGTCGCTTGCCGCTTTGCGGGAGGCCAGTTTATCTGAGCCTACTGAGCCTACTGCACCTTCCAGTAATGCCAAACTGTATACCAACCTGTTGAAATTTAAAAGTTCCTGCTTCATCTGATTAAAACGAGCACATCCTTAGACCATGTTGAATTAACCTGAGATTGGGGTAGAGAAGAAACATCAAAACGTAGAAGGGACTGAAAATAGAGAGGACGTCTCTAACTCAGCTAACTTTTTCTTTACCCCAGTCTCAGGTTAATTCAACATGGTTAATATTCACCAACTCGCCTGCGCCCTTACGATTTTTTCTACATCCTTAGAATCTCCTTTAGGGTGACTTCTGTTGCACTAAAATGTGAATTTTAGGTATGTTTGAAATTATAGTGCTACCCGCCTTTTCTTCAGCTTTATTGCCGTCTTAAATGAGGATACATTAAAGGGATGCTGAATCGAAAATCGAATTTCAGAAAACGACGCAGAATCGATAGGCTGGATGCTGCAAATCTCAAAACGTCGCTCACAAAGGGAGGTCTCTAACAGATCGTCGTATTTTTGTAAAAGAAGAGCGGCGCTTGCACAAGGCCGAAAAGACGTGTGATCTCGCGATTCTCATTTCCTCTTCTTTTCGCTTTGACTCCGTGAGGGCGCGGAGAGGAAAGGGAGCGAGGTCATTTCTCCTCCTTTTCAACTTTACTGCGATAAGATGACGTCAACTTTCTCCCTCACTCGCTTCTTTATTTTCCAGAAATACGGCCGCCCGCTCGAGATGTGGCTAAAATGAGTGATGTTTCGTCATTTATGGCGTCGTGTTGAACACTTCTGCAAACTTATTTTGTGAAATCCGAATTTCGGTTCAGCATCCCTTTAAGTGTTCGACAAGTGAGCTGATATTGTTCTTCCCTGATACACAAACTAACATTTCACTGTAACGACGCTTCCACCTGGGCTTGTCATACACCAACGCCCTATATTTCTTGGTGTCACTTATCATTGGCGCAAGTTGCTCATCATCTGCGTGCATTGTGTGACACTGTTAACACAAACAGGACCTTGGCCTTTTTCCATAATTTTTATCAAACTTCCTATTGACGAAAGCCCAATTTTGCCGCATACGCGTATGTCATAGATTAGCGCATTCCACCACACTAGCAATTTTGTCGATAGCTCATTTGTGAGAAAAACAAGCAACATACCGGCGATAGCTCGTTCATGTCATGTTTCACTCCATATATGCAGCACAAAAAAGGTACCGTACGTTTCGTTCCGCCCTGGCTGTCTAACATAATGTGACAAGGTTATTTGACTCTTTTGTTTTTATTGTAGCCGTGGTTTGTGGCAAGCCACTTAAGGCTGGCACTTGCAACTGCTTACTACCGAGTGCTTGTAAACCTTTTGGAATCCTTATGATGAGAGAACAGGCACCATCTATCGTGTAGCCTCGGAATACTTGGCATTTCCATATATTTCCTATTTATTTTTGCGTGTCATTCTTTTCTTAGCACCAAAACCTTGACATTTTTATAAGTAACCTCTTCCTGTAGATAGTGTGTACAATCTGACATTGCAAACACCGCCAAACCCTCTGCTCTAGTGAAATGCAGCTCCAGGTTCACGTCATATATGGCGTCAGCGTGCCACCGCATTCTCTCGTCGTTAGAGATACGAAAAATCCGGTTGTAAGCAAACGAAAGTGTGTTGATGAGCCTTTATACTAAGGACGGGATCTTTGAAGGGGGCAGTTTGGCGGCAACCGATGCGCGGAGGTCTCTGGCAAGGAGCCGACGCCGACATCTCTTTGCAGGAGAAAGGCAGCGCTGCGCTGCACATGGCTGCGCGTGCCGGCCAGAGCTCGCAGGTGGAGCTGCTGCTGGTGTACGGGGCTGACCCGACGGCACTGGACGCCCTGGGCCACTCGCCAGCGGACTACGCTCGGTGAGCGGCCGCGGCAAGGCATTGCGGAGGATTCGAATCCCCCTGAAGAATGTTCTCTCTCGTTTCGATAACCCCCGTCTTTTCCGTGGATGTCCTTTTGCTCGTTTGTCTTTGCTCACTTTGGAACACCTAATTGTAGGCTGCTTGTGATTATGGTTGCAGATTTTCTTTTTGTGCGTGTGCTTTCATAATAGGCCTTTATGCACCAATTAAATTATTGCTAAATTTAGCAAAGAAATGCGTGGACAGACAGACATACAAGTTTCTGGGAAAAAGGGGGGTTCCGTCGAAGGAGCGTGCCATCGGCAAACACTCCTGCGAAATAGCTTTTGTTTAAGTGTTTTTTTTTGTTTTTTTTTCACTTTAGAATGGTTACTGCTGCAGCTGATAGCATGTGGAACATGTCTAACTAGACCTGCAGCATGCTCTGGTTCTTACCCAGTTTGGTAAAAGATTGTTTTGCTGCCTTCGTCTCGAGAATTGTGAGGGGCATATACGTATCAGATTGCAGACGTGGGGAAGAAATAGGGGGGGGGGGGACAAAACAAATGAATGTAGCGGCTGCGGCCAAACAGCATAACACTTCGCGTCATCTGCTTCGGATGGCAGTTTCTAGATGTTACAGCCAGAAAGGCAAACCCAAGCAATGGGACATTAATTAAAAAAATCTATAAAGAAATTTGTTTTTGCAAAATAGTGATTTTAAAATTGCAGCTACTTTTCTTTCCATCGGCCAAGTTTCTTATGTTGAAGGTTAATATTTGAGCCATAATATAACTTTATAATATCTGTGGGGGCTGGAATCACACTGAAGTCGATGCTAAAACCACACTTTTTCAAAACAGAAATTTTGGACTCTTAGAAATTTTGAGCAGGGATATCTCAGCATGTATGGTAGGCAGAACAATAATGCTTTTAGCAATGTGTAGCTAAACGTGCAAAGCATACAATGTAGAAGCAGATTTTTCAATATAGGTGTAGGAACATTTTAAACTGAACTATTGTTTTATCGCTGCGTCTAAAGGTAAAGATAGCCAGAACCAAAAGTCTAAAGATACGTCAAGTGTATCCGGATCCTAGAGTCTTAAGATACATTGGACGTACCTGGGACACGGAATCTGTGGACGTAGCCGCGATTCGCACTCGGGGTGTTCAAGGCACCAAGTAGTATGCCGTATGCGTCGCCGACCCTGAGCTCAATGGACTCAACCGGCTGAACTGTCGAATTTCGAGAGAAGTGTTAGAAAGAGAGTACGAAACTGACGAAACATGAATCGTCGTGTGCCGTTTCCGGCCGTTTCCTTTACTGGCGGTCAAAGTTTCGTTTCCTACAGACGTGCAAAGCAGGTAGTGTGTGAAAAAGGATCGGCGGGTCACGGCTCCTGCCTACCAATTTTTGTGCTTGTATGATGTAACGTTTCTTTAAATGCATCTGTTGACATAAAAAACCGACTAGGAGCGAGCTCTGCCGAGCAGCTTTTGGCTTTTTCCCCATGAATGACCCTGGAAACGCGAAACCGGTGCTGTACTTATTCTACAAACTGGAAACGAGTCAGCTCAGCTCTCAGTGCATCCTATCACCAGCAAGGAGGACTGCTTTGACATCACGTGCAAGCCATGTATACCAGACTAGACTATCCTATTGTAGGTCTGCTACAATAGGATAGTAATAATAACTTCCCATACAAGGATAGAATAATAATAATATAATATAATAATAATATAATAATAATAAGGATATAATAACTTCCCACGGGAGTATTGGTCACACGTGTGAAGCACATGCACCCTCTTTGTGGTCGTAACACTTTGTTGTGGGCGATGATAATAATGGCTTGAGGCTACTCAAACTGGATTGGAAATTGGAATGGATTGATTGGTAACAAGCTTGAGTTGATCAAACCTTTTTTATTTATCCTAGTCATAAATGCAAGTATGAGAAAGCGCGACTCATAAGCGTGGAGCGGGTGCGTCCGACGGACCGGTGGCCATTCACCGGCTACGTCCGACGTATCTTTAGATTCCGGGGTCCGGATACGTCCGACGTATCTTTAGGCTCCGGCTTCCAGGTATGTCCGGCATATCTCTAGACCACGGTGTAGGAAGGCTCTTTAGGTGTGGAGACTCCTCTCCTCGCCGGAACGGCGAACACATCACGTCCCCTTTTTTCCTATGTTTTCTCTGCCTGCCCCTAGAGGGCGCCGAAACGTTCAAGCTGTCCGGTCGCTGGCCGTCCGCTGGACCGTGGGCCAGTCACCCATTGCTTACGCCACCTCTAATTGTTTCCAACCTTCTTTTTTTTTGCAATAGTGAATTGAGCATAAAAGAGATCTAAAAACCAAGGATTTGAATTCGGAAATATTCAAACATTTTAATGAATGCGCCGACTGCTCCCCAGCCTGGGGAAACATAAACATTTTAGAAAGGGAAAACAACGACATGAAAATATAAGTAAAAGAGACGATCAGGATAAAGACGTCTGCCGAATGCATCAGTCACACGTCCGTTCACTTGAGTAAAGAGGCCGAAAAAATTTTGCGGCTGACTGGTTTGGGAGAATTGGGATGGCCTCGGGGTGCCGCGGTGTGTGTGTGTTGACAGGGGATCTGTTGGCAGCTTTGTGTTGGCGCCGTCTGAGTTCATCGTTGACTGGAATGTACGGAGGGCCTGGGAAAAGGAAAAGGAAAGGGGATAGAGGTTTTGGGAAATGGAAAAGAAAAAGAGGGGGACCACAAATAAAGTTTGTAGCTGCGTTTGAGATTTCATCTGTGTCATTCTGTGTTTTGTCCTGTTATGAGTCGACGCCCAGCCTGGTTTCTCGGCTTGCATGGCTATCTTGCTGGCGTCCAACCTTTTTCGCGAACAACGTCCTAGCCAGACAGTCGGAGAAACAGATCGGGAAAACTTAACAGGACGGAAGACTACTTTATTTACATGGTTATATCGTGTAACATAGTGACAAAAGGAGCGCACCGAATGGGCAGCGGACAAGTTCTTATATAAAAAAACTCGGGGTTCTGGAGCTGCCGTGGCATTGGGCAGTTAGTGCCGCATTCGAAAGCTGGCCTCGACGTCAGCAACCTCCTCTCGGCCCCGATGCTCGGTCGTTGTTCTCTCCGAATTGAAGGAGCCTCGTAGGAGATTGTCTTGCATACGGTAGACGCAGACACAACAGACTGCCCATCTGTTCAGGGTCGGATTCTGTCTGGCGTTCTGGTGGAATACAGACGCCTCCGTGGAAGGCAGTCGCTTCTTCGGTTTCAGTCGAACGTGCAAAAGGGTTCGGATCGCATGAGAATGCGACAGTACGCAAAGGAAAAAAAGCAAGATGCAAAAGCAGTCTCGAGAAAAGAAAGAGTCCTGACTGTGCGGCTCGTAATGTGGAAAAGAACTCCAAAAATCAGCCATAGAGTGTGTCATACATTAAGGGGCAACTCCGCTTAATTTCAAAAATTTTGAGATAGTGGCCGATTTTGCTTTTTGAAGCACTCAAAAACAGTCCCCAATCTTTTGTTTCGCGAAAAATAAAATATTTTTCGTGTAATTTTACTCTAGCCATGATCACAAACTGAAACCGAAACGGTGGCAAAGCCGGACAACATTGTATATTCGGCATCACTAAGCATGTACACCCACGTGATATACAAGGGGAAGAAGGAGCTCCCCTCTTGTCAGGATCCTCCTTTGTGCCTCCTGGATTAGCACAGGCGTCGCCATTCTCCTCCCAGAAGATTATAGAAGATTAACCTGTCACTCAAAATTCTTACAAAAGCAGCTTCCCTCTCCTCCTTTTACTTGGTGTTCAAAGTATGCGATGTAACACAAGCCGCGCTCAACGAGGCGATCGGCTTATCAGTAGTATCAATAGTCGAGCGCCGGGCCGGCCGAGCGCGTCACTCACGTCTTTCACGGCGCTGGCGCCACCCGTGCTCTCCCCGGAAATAAAGAAAAAAAGAAAAAGCTGTACATGTTTGATGACGTCGCGGACGTGCCGGGAGAAGGAATTTGGAGGAAGCGGAAATGCAGCCGGGCAGTGTTGTCTGGCTCGCACGTCTCATCCAAAACCAGCGGATTCGTGCTTGTCAAACTTTGACAGCGATTTTAATGAACTTCTAGGCGGAATTTCGTCGTAATATTTGCCATGGGGGTTTTGTAGATGATAACAAAGAGAACTGTATAGTTTTGCACTACTGGAAAAGAAGCGGAGTTGCCCTTTAAGGGGGGACACTACCCGGAGAAAAAAAGATTCTTCAAAAAACATTGATTTTGAAAAATTACATATTTACATCCATCTACATCCAGAGAGTATTCCCAGAAATTTTCACTAGTTTACACTGCATAGTTAATTTTTTATAAATTATTTTCTGTCCACCAAAGCTAAAGGGAAGGTAGGGTATGGAGCACTTCGAACATATTTTTCTCCGTTCCACTTTTTTGTATAAATTCCATTTTAGTCAATCTATCGTTTGAGAATGGAAATACAGGAAAGGCTCGTTCTTCACTTTTCCTGACTGAAATTTAATAAGGAATGCGCCTATGGAGTTTGTTTGTCACTTTACGGATGTCTTTTATAAAAACTGTTGACATTTTGTCGGAGACAGAAAAGACCAAAAAGTGGACCAATTTCGCAGAAGAGAAAATTGATAGAAATCAATTACTTTTTACAAAAGCCTTTCCATAGGCGCACCTCCTAGGCATTCTGCTACATATCTAGCGAATAAAAATCTTTAATATTGTGATAGTTTTCTGACGATAGATTAACTAAACAGTGTAGGGGTGTTGCTGATAGAAGCTGCCCTAATTTCCTTCCCACTTAACCAACAGACCTAAAATTTTGTTATGCACCCTCTAGCGTGACCACCAGGCTACCCTGTAAATTTCATTAATTTTAAGCCAAGGGTTCAAAAGTTGACCCTCCCAGGGGGTGTCTCCCCTTAAACAATGTTTTAACGGCGTTTTTTTTTTTTTTTGGAGCAATTTTTTTGCAGGAATTTTTTTTTAATTTTTTGTTGAAGTTTGTGATATTATTATTATACTTATATCAGAAATGCCATTAATAAAACCGGTTTGCTTTCCTTGACGAGTGTGGTTACTATAAACTTGCTGCAATCTGCTACATGCAAATGTAAGTGTACTAACAAAGTGAACCTTTCAAAGAATGCTGCTTTTATTAACCTCTGCGTGCAAAAAATGTAACTTTGTGCCAATTCGGCCAGCAGCTCAATTTAGCAGGATTCAAAGGCTGCCTTAAAATGTAAAAGAATAATCACGTTAGCTTCCTCACATGTTGACAAAATATTTTTTTAATAGTCCAGCCGACCCAACGGGAATTTGCAAACCCAATATATATATATATATTAGAAAAGTCATGTGAACGGTGCTTAAAACAATTCTGTTCCGTATTATCTGTGAACAAGGTTTGTGTTAATCATTCTTTATTTTTGTGCATTCTTTTTTTTTTTTTATTTCGGTCGCGCTCAAGTTATTGTTTACCTGCGGTACAATCAGAGTTTATTCATTTTACAAACACTTACCGACGTTAGTATCGCGCTACTGAGGAAACAAACGACGGAATGTAAGCTAGTCTAGAAACTATCTACAAGAGAAGGATATTTGTTTTTGACTCGTAGACCGCCGTATCGGCTGGTATCAGGAACTTACTCTTGTTTGTCCGTCTGACATTTTTTGGGTTATAAATACTTCAGTGTGCTGAGAGAGATAATAGTTGAATGGCCCCACCTACATACCACATCGTACGCGAACCGGTAGCCACCGGAAAGCAAGCTGCACGTCGAGCAGGCAGCTAGCACAGGCGGCCCGGTGCGCTGCCGGATGGCCTGAAACTTACGGTACCATCTGGGAGTGGCTCCATGAAGTGAAGCACGCGAGGTGTCATTATCTGGTTGCGGCGTAGAGCGGAGTCTCTACACCTAAAGAGTTTTCCTACACCGTGCTCTAGACCCAACGTTGTCTTATTGCTTGGTAGCCACACATTAAGCACTGAACTTCAGTGTGTTGTAAAATCGCTTATAATGGTTCAATCTAAAAAGTGCTTCCAACATTGTATTCTTCATAATTCTTAGTATCTAACCGCATGTTAAAACATTCTTTTTAAAAGCAATGCTTTTTCACTATTGTTTCTGGAAACAAAGTCTGGTTAATTATAATTATCCTGAGAATTAACCTACTAATTTGAGAACAACAGATATTTGAAATCAGCACTAAAGTCTGAACAAGTCTGTGCTGTTTCAATGGGCTTGACCAAAAATAAGGAAGAAAGCTCTAAGACCAGTGTTTTCTTTAAAACACATATTCCTAAGAAACGTGAGGGGCGTTTGGGGAAAAGAACACCCGGGAAAACATATAAGCCGGGAATGTGTCGGCGAGGTGCTATTATAGCAAGATTTGAGATGCACATCTTGCCTTCCCGTTATCGTCTCAGGGAAGCTGGCCACATGGACTTGGCTCAGCGGCTGGAAGAGTGCCAGTTCGAGGTGACTGACCGGCTGGCGTTCTACCTCAGTGGCAGGAAGCCAGGTGGGTTCAGGGGCGACCTGCCTCCTCTGCTTTTTCGCTTCATTTTCTGCACGGCGTCGTCACAACTGTGGATTGCCGTGGTTTGCCACGAATCCCGGCAGTTGCGCGACAGCAGAGGCAGCGGACGCCCATTCTGCTCAAGCCTGCTCTCAAACCGGAAACTCTGACCAACGCGGGCTGACATGCCATAATGGTTGTGACGCCTTCCGCAGCCAATCGTTGGGATTGCAACAGCCCGTAGAGTTTTCTGGTGGTTCCCATAATCCATTTTGTTGCTGCATGGGCAGAAACGGCAGCTAAACCATCCCTCTTGGAAATGTGTTCCAGGCACTGTAATTTAGAGCCTCACTTGTTGTGCCTGGCATATAGCATCTCCCCCCCCCCCCCCCCCAGGAGCATACAATCTTTCAAAGAAACACTACTTCCCCAAAAAGATTTCTCCCAGCGAGGCAACGGATATAATTCCCACCGTTCATTCAAATGGTTTAAATATAGCAGAAATCCAGGTTTGCTTGACACCACAGGCATTCTTATTCGCAAAAGGTCAATTATGTGTGAATACTTTTTTTTAGTGATTTGCTTGCAGTACCATGGAGTATTTGAAACCACTTATGGCACGTGTCATTCATTGCCTTACGGAAAAACACAAAACTTGTACATTTTTGCTATTGTTTTTATACGGAGCAATGAATTACGAATTATGGCTAATTCTTTTTTAAAGTTTCACACACTGATAGAAAAAAAAGTAAAGGCCCGTTCACACTCTTGCGACCGAGTACGACCGAGTACGACTGAGAGAGACGAGGATCTCTTAAAACTTCTTAAATGTTTTTAGAATGAGGGAACACACTGGTATTGTGGCGCCATCTATGCGGTGACCCTGGAACTGCATTTCACAAGAGCGAAGGTTTTGCGGGATTTCCGAGGTCAAATGTGCGTAATAACCATAGAAAGGCTCGTTTATAACATTGACAAAAGTTTTTTGAGCCAAAAAAGAAAGGATAATGCGCGAGAAATAAAAAAAATATGCCGGACCGCCGAGTTTACACTGCTTCCCAATAGATGGCGCCAGTGTGTTCTCTGGTTTAAGAGGTTTTAAGAAACCTAGGTTTAAGAGGTCGCAAAAGTGTGAACGGGCCTTTATTCCAGTGTTTCTGTGCACTCACGTTAGCCCCTCCATATGTTGGTCTTGTGTTACAGATCACCAGCTGGGACAGCATTTCATCCTCCCGGAGATGTCCGACTGGTACGTGCCACTTTGCAGTCTCCCAGGGAAGGGATTGCATCTGTCGGCGGACGGCACATTTTCGTGTTGAACGGTTAATATCTGTTGCAATTGTTTCACCACTGCACATTTGAATTGCCCTGTCTCTCTTTACAGCCTGGAGTTGTCAGAACTTGCCAAGGTGGCCAAGCACAAGCTTCAGATGGTAGGTGCAGCTCTCTTTCCGAGTTCTCGCATGCACTCTTGAATCTGACTTCCCCCTCACTCATCCAACCCGTGCCAGCGCAGGGCCAATTCTCTGTTCCCCGTATGCTGCCTGGGTCCAAACATTCATTGTTTGCCGACCGGTGCATTACAGAAGTAAGAGTCCTCAGCTCCCACTCTCTGTCACTAAATGGTTCAACACAGGGGTCTGTTAAGCCAGTAACTACGAAACTAAAAACGACGAGCTCCAAAAACTCGAGGATGAGTTCTGAAGGGGGGCAGGCGTGGAGATGGCATCGGTTGGAACGTTTATCCCAGAATGCAGAAAGACAACCTTGCACTGGTAGCCTGCATGCAGCGGGCATGCAACACAAAGTTGTAGAAAGTAAAATGTCTAGAAAGAGTGTGAAGCAAACTGTAGAAAGGAGGATGTCTTTCTACATACCTTATAGAAAATAGGAAGGCCCCTAGGCCGGTGTTTTGAAAGGAACTTGCAACCAGAACGTTAGTGACGTTTAACATCGAGCAATAAATCCCAGCTTCACGCAAAATGTTAGAAGATGGTTTATATTTCTATCCTACTCCCATTGAGGACTCTGAATTTTTTTTCTAAGAGAAGTAGGAGGTAGTAGTTGCTGTATCAATTTTACATTGCCTTGGCCAATTGCGTGCGTGCACAACGACAACCTGCTTGAGGAAAGGAAACAAAACTGCTGAAATATGTTTTGGGCATACGGATCATGCAGTTCACAGTGCAAAGGAAACAGATGCTTCTACTAGCAAGTCTGGGATGCACATGGCTATTTGCTTCAGCCGCACTGGTCTGCTACAAGTCTGACTTTGTTTGAACGAAGAACATTCCTTTTTGGGCCTGTTTTTGTGAGCGTAACATTGCTAAAGAGCATTAAAAAAATTTGTCACATGGTCGCTAAGTTGGGCAGGCATTCCAAATTTCTTGGTCCCCTGAGCTCAGGAAAACTAATAAAAAATGGATACCCGGCTCAACTCAAAGCACACTGCACATTCCACGTCCCCTGACTCTATACATATAATATTGAGGTGCATGTGCAAATAGTGGATTTTGAGTTTGAAGCAAATAGTGGCTATGCTGAATATTTTCTAATCTGATTCTGAATAGTTTCTCCAAGCCTTTCACTACTGTTCCACCATGCTGAAATGAAAATTCATTTCAAATCATGAAGGTTATTTCTAAACTTCCTCTTGTCCATTTCGAAACTAAATTTCTTTGTAATCTAAGTACCGTATTTTCCTGTCTGTTGTCCGCGGGATATACAGTGAAACCTGTTTAGAACGAACCCACGTTCAGCGAATTATTGTCAATATCGAACTCGCGGAACATTTAAATAAAAATTCATGTAAAACATATGTTTTATAACAAACAACATATTGGCTACAGGAAAACCTCGTTATAACAAAGTTGAAGGAGCGATCGTAATTATTTCGTTATAACCATTAGTTTGTTATAGCCAATGTTCATTTCTTCCCTAATAGCAAGGAAGGGGAATTATGATTGCTTTGTTATATCCATTAGTTTGTTATATCCCGTTTTGTTATAACGAGGTTTTCCTGTATATCAAACTTTTTCGCCCGTGAAGGCTTCCAAAAACGTGCAAACAATCGTCTTCTAGCCTGTCCCTTCTCCAAAAAAATAAGTAGGAAAGAAAGAAAATTCCAGAGGCTCAAGTTGTGAACAAAATTGAGCGAAGAGAAGCGATTCAAAAGGGGAGGTAAGCTAAAAAAATAAACTCTGCATGCATGCAAAAAAAAAAAAAAAAAAAAACCTGTTTTCAGCGCGTTGTTTAAAGGCGGAATTGAAGAGAGGAGAAAAAGACAAGCTCTTCGGCTTACAACAAACTCGCCTTGGAAGTTCGTTGTAAATGATTTTTGCTATATCGAACTGATCGTAGCATTTCCTGCTGCTCGTTATAAATGGATTGGATTGTATATGCTTAGAAGTTTAAATTTTACCCAATGCGGACTATCTACAGGCAGGTGCAGACTACATAAGAATTTGTTTTTTCTAGATTGTTCGCTTTAACAAGACATGAAGGATTTTATGAATAACGGAGTATGTTAATGTTGATTTACAAATGACACAAGCTTGTTTGTGAGCTTGTACAGCAGGCATTTGTGAAGGTGTGCTGTGTATGGTAATTTTTACGTGTGGACTAGAGACAGCGTGCGGGCTACGCACCGGTTGCAACTATTTAAGCAAAAACTTTTATTTTCAACCCCAAATTTGCCCTTGCAAACTGTGCACCAGGTGGTAGAGTATAGTCCGGAAAATGTGGTAGTTATATTTATGGACTTTGGCCTTAGGAAGTTTAATGCCTGTATTGGGATAGCAAGTAGACGAGGATTTGGCACAAAATTAAACCTATAGAGGTGCCCAGCTATACTTAATGGAGGGTATTTACAAAGCTCCTCGCTTTATGCAAGTATCCTTTCTTCAGTCCTGAATAGACCGATCTTCCCAAGTGTCGGGTGCACGTGTGAGGCCGCCATAACTTGAGTTCACAGGAGGCTGGCTCCAGTGCCCGAGACGGCTCGTGACGTCTCGGGTTCTGCATGCGCAGAGCTCCAGCAAGGTTGTTGCACGTGCAAAAAGACTAAAGTTTCCTCGATGCATTGCGGCAGCGGTGGTGTAACCAAGCTGGCTAATGAGATCGGTTTATTCGAAAAAAGAAAAAAAGAGACAATCACAACTGAACAATGCAGTCGCAGTTGAATTTAGGAAATTTTGCTTTAACGTAGATATCAACATTCACAAGTTTTCCGTTTTATTTTTAATTACACAAGGCGCGCGCTTGCACCATCCCGTTTTAAAAGTGTGCTTTCCTCTTGAACGTGCGACTGTGATATTCATTCTTTTTGAAGTGTTGATCACAGCGGGTTACCCCCGTTGTGAGCGCTTCTTACCGAGCAATGGTACACTTCGAAGAAGCAGCACCCACGGCGTTCGCTTTTGGGGCGTTGCATCTCCGCAATGCATCAGTGCTCGGAGAGAAGCGCACTCAACGGGGCTAACCCGACGCAATCAACACTTCAGAACTACCTTTCAAAAACTGGAATATTCGCTCAGTCTTAAAAAAACATTTAAATTTTATTTTTAAGCTAGCTCCGATTATACCCCCAGCTAGACACCTGTGGCACCCTCTGCATTCTTATGAGACAAAGGGAGTTCCTCCGTTCTGGCACGGGAGGGACGGCGTGCCCGCAAGTGCGAACCCTTCGGGGCACTGTCGTTGCAGCTGCCAGATGCGCTCTTTGCGGAGCTGGCGCGGGATGTGCACGACGAAGTGGACCGTCGGGAGAACGACGCCATCTGGCTGTCGACGCAGAGCCAGAGTGCCCTGGTGGCAGACCGGCAGTCGGTGCCTTTCCTGCCCGTCAACCCCGAGCTCTCGTCCACACGCAACCAGGCACGTTTCTCTTTCTCTCTCTCTCTTTCAGCAGCGTCTAGTCTTGGCAGGTGCCTCAGGAAGGAACTCATTGAAAGAGCATGCCAAGTAAAGAGATGGAATTAATTGGATGCAGCGCATTGCAGCAGTGCTCTTGTGTGGCTGCAAGCCTTTGCTCAGTCTTCTGTGTCGAAAGTCACAAGTATTGAAAATTTCTCACGAGTTTAGAACTTCTTTGCTAGCGGTGATCAGGATTGTTTGTGAGATTGCAGCTCTCTTCCAGATTTTGTGCAAACGTACCAGATCTGCCCAAGGAAATGTGAAGGCTTGTTTTCGTGGCGTAAAAATGAACCCTGTTTGTTTGCCGTAATGTCTCAAAAGGTTGCCCATCCCATTTTTCTGGCTTAATATCCATAGGGTAGAAATATCCGTAGGGTGAGAGAAATGGCCCATTATGTTGCTCAAATCAAGCGTTATGAGCAATTTCTCAAGTTCTGAATCAAAGGCTACCGTCCTCTGTCGGGAGCAGATGCAACGCCAGCTACCCGGCACTGCAGCTCACAGATGGCACTAGCTGTCATTCGCAGGCTGTCATTTTCATTTTTTGAGCAAACTGGTTCAGTTCAAACATTGCCTGTGTCTGGCGGTACCAAAGAAAGTGGAGACTTCAAATTGGCGCCGCCTGAAGAGGTGCATGGAGGGCAGTGGAGGCTTTTCATTATATATACTTCTTTTTGCACAAACTAAGGTAACGCTTCAGATGTTGAGTATGCTTATGTGACAACTGGCAGAATACACCCTTAGTCAAAATTATGTTACATCCCACGTCCACAGTCTGCCTTTTGTAAGTAAGCTTGGATTGTTCATGTTTTTTTCGAGGTGCCTGCAGCACTCCATGCTGGAGAGAAGTGGGTGAAACCTTGCTCGCATTTTTCCAGGGACGGCAGAAGCTGGCTCGGCTGAACGCCCGTGAGTTTGCCAGCCTCATCATCGACATCCTGTCGGAAGCCAAGCGGAGACACTTAGGGTCCCAGCACTGCGGTAAGATGCTGGTTCTCAGGTTCCGTGTTACGAGTGCGCCCGTGTGGACTCATTCCGGTCTCGGCTGAGTGAATAACTCATTTGGCTGGGGATGTTAGGCCAAGCTTAATCTAGCTTGCCAGGAAAAGAATTCTTTGCAATGCATTGGAGTGGCTGCAACATTGCACTGAGAGACTGCGCTTTGAAAGTTTAAGTACGCCCTTTGCAGAATGATGGCAGCCGCCGAGATGCCTTACCTGGGATCCCCCTTTTTTTTTTTCCAGAGAGAGTAATTGTCAGGATACATTAATTCCACAGTCAGTCAAAAACGGGCACAAAGCAGACAGGTGTGTTCCCTTTTTTCATCCAGGACCTTCAAGTCTGAGCGACGACGAGCCCTTGTACGACAGTGTGGCCTCGGACGAAGAGAACAGCCAGGTGGGTGACAGCAGCCTTGCTCGTGCCACATGCAGTCAGCAGCTGGTACTTCGCAAACTCGTATCATGTTGCAGTTACAGCACAGTGACAAGGACGTGCAGCCCCGTCCTCATCACTGTGTGTGAGACTTGGACTGCTGCCTTAATCCTTCGCATAAGCGCTCTATGAGCTGTAGACTTCTGTACCATTTTATTGCGTTTGATAAAACGAGTTTTAGGGGAAGTCCGCAGGATGGAGAAGATTTACGCAAGAATAAATTGGCTTCCACTCGCAGCAGTGCCAAGAAGAGAAGAGTTTCCCCATTGGCTGTTCTGGACAAATAGGTGTTCTTTAGTGTCAACAATTTTGACAGCCCCTGGATTACCTTATTTTACTAACTGCTATACTGGAGAAGACAAAATTGTTGCGAGGACCTAATTTTCGCGAATCGCCTACAGTTTGCAAAAAATACGTCCCGCGAAGTATTCAGGCAATATGTGAATGCTACGGAAGCTACACTTGATTTGCGAAAATTAGAACCCGCGAATAATTTCAAATTTTCAGCTTTGGCCCAATTCGCAAAAATTTGAGCCCGCAAAAATTAAGTTGTTTACTGTATTCTGTAACCGGTATATTATTTGTATTAACAAATCTTTGCAGAACTAATGTGCTTTTAACGAAAAATGTGTTTTATGCAGCGTTTTCTATGAAAAGATTGTCATGAATGGACGTCATGGCGAGTGTTGTAGCGAGCGTCATTAATGAGTGACATGCTGGGAGACAATTAAGATTATATATAACGTTCATAAAGTTTGATCCCCTAGGTCGGTGGGGTGGCAGTCAAATGCTATAGCCACAAAGCTACTAGCGCAGCTGGTAGGGACGAGTCAATATTTATATTTAAATGCAAAAGTGCTGGCAACAACGGCAGGTTTTGGAGGGTAAAAAGTTAATGAAATAAATAAACATACAAATAAAATAATAACTAAATTAATAAACGAAAAATAAATTAGTAAACAAGAAATCAAATAAATATGTAAAATAGATGTCAGAAATAAATATAAAATAATAGAAATAGAATAACAAAAATAAATGAAAAGTAGGGAAGAAAAGAAATAAGGGAAAAAAAATGGTTAATAAAAAGATTGACAAATCTTGCCCAAACGACACACGTAGTGTGGTTTGTGCGGGACACATTCCGTGCTCCCTGGTGTTTGTCAGCATCATCAAGACTGTATTCGCAACTCCAATTCACTATAGGTGGCGCCACTTGTTTTCCAAAATGGTGGTTATAGTGAGGGTCGGAGATGCGTGCCGCTGCTGACCCGGTCTAGTCTGCTGGCTTCACTAAGCGAAACAAATTATTTCTGGAAATACGAGGATGCTAGGGTGTTAAGAGCGCAGGTCACCTCTTTATCCTGAAAACAAAAATGGTGTTTAGAGTAATATTCACGCCAGGTGGCGCTGTTTTAATTCTGGAGTAAAACCGAAACTAACCTCTATTTTGGATTTATATTTTTGGTATAGGTCTTAATTTTGGATTACTTCATTACCCAAGATGTGTCTCACATCGTAATTGTTTAGTAAAAGAAGTTGTTTGTGGAAACTTTATTTTGTGGCGTGCATGTTCGATCCAGGCACTTCCAAATATTTTGGAGATTTCACTGTCCCTTTAAAGACAGGATCTTTCATACACCTTGGGGGTAACATAGAATATTGTATTTGTTGAAAAAATCACTGCTGATATTTGTGCGTTTGCACTGCCTTTTCTCGCTCAGATAATTTTTATGGGAAATAGTGAACTGCGCGCCTTTAAAAGGTTTTTGGGTATTAAGATGATTAATTGCTTTAACATTATTTTTACTTTAACATTTTTACATTATGTTCACAAAACATATAATTTAAGGAACGCTGTTCTCACTACAAAAACCCAAAGACGGAATCTGAGTCAAACAGCTAAAGTATGAGTGTTTTTTAACGCAGAGCGTGACGCATATTGCATCCAGTGTTTGACTGTTTGTCTATCTTGGTAACAATGTCAGAGTTTTTCATACGCTAAAAAGAAAACAAAACGATACCTTTCCGAAAAGTTTATTATGGTTCAATGGCTATTTTTGTGATTGTGGCGTTAATTTGGGGCACACCGTGATTTGTTTTAATAATAATAATAATATTAAAATGAAAATATTTTAATGTGTAATTTCTCAATTTCAAATGCGTGACCAAGTATGACAGTCAAAAGTGTGCTAATTATCATCACTGGTGTTAATTGCAGCATTTTAATTACCGAGTTATAAAAAAATAGTCTAAAATCAATGAAAACATTATAGCTAATGTGAGAAATCCATGTAAAATCACACTAATTATGGGTAAAGCATAACGGTGCCATAAAATTTGCGACTTTTGAAAATCGGCAAAGAAGTCCCCGTCTGTATTCCTGCAAACCAAATGCCCCCTCCCCCCCCAAAAAAAAACAACAAACTACTACACTACTCTTAAAACTGATAAGTCGTACAACTGCACCGATGCCGAACGATTATGGAAAACAAATCCTTGTATTGTCTTAGACTTTAGCTAGTCCTTACGGCGTAAAATAGCAGTTTCATGCATTTATACTCCACGGTTGATGGTTTGAACAGTATGATACCACAACCCTAATGCGTCTGTGCACCATTGCCAAGGCAAGTCCGGCCGCCTACAACCGCACCACCTGACCCACCGCTCCCCCCACGCAGTCCTTCCAGGGTGAGTGCTGCCCGTGCTCAGCGCAGACGGCCCAGCTGTGGGAGCAGCTATCGCAGCTGGAGCGGAGCCAGGCCGCCCTCAGGCATGAGCTGGAAGCCCTCAGGGCAAGTCACCGGTCCCCCGCAAGGGCGGCGGCCCCCAGGGCACCCCCGCCCCCGGCACCCTCGCCCCCACCAGGTAGGTGGGGCAGCGCTCCCGCTCGGAACTGGGCCATAGACTCCCGGATACGCGGCGCATCGTAGGCACTTCGCTTCGCCTTACGACGGTCGGTCCAATACAACACCGGTCGACGGGCCAAATTTTTAGAAGTCGAGAGTGTGTCCGGGTCCTGTTGGGCAACATTGGCATTTCCTCTGCCTGTCAGTCCGGTGCACTGTCACCATGTTAGAGTCTGCTGCGAGTCCGGCGAATAAATGGAGCCGCAACTCTCTTTCAGCGACTCTACGCCGTCCTTCGCAACGCCCCCAGTCAATGTGCGAGTGGCGCCAGCTGGGGGCCTTCCCAAACAACATGCCCAGGGACGACAGTGGACTGGTAGGAGCACACATGTCTCTCTCCTCCTCCAGTTGGAAGCATTTTTTTACTTTCTGGCTGGCTTTCTACCGTTCTTCTTACACTGGGGTGTTGGCAAAGAAACTAATACCGTACATAAATTCAGAACTCGGGGGAAAAGTCTTTTTGCCATTGCATGCATGACTAACTTTGAGCTTGACGTACTGGGGAATACAAGCATGGGATGGTGATCCGGTAGCAGATTTGGTTGTTACTTAGCTTGTACGTTTGCTTTTCTTGCTTGGATTTTTTTAAGGTTCAGTAGCCACGTGATGAAACCATCTTTAGATCATTTGCTCATAAATGATGGTGGTCACCTCTGTGTTGCTCAGAATCTCTATAAAAGATTGTTCTGACCAAGACTCCATGAAGGATTTTTCTGACCTGGCTGGAGCTGTTCTCATATGTCTGTATTGATGTGCAGGGCCAGATGCAGTCTGGGCAGTGGTCTCACGCAAGCGGAGACTACGACAACTCCCTGGAGCCCCTGCGGGCAAGGTGGGTGGACCCCAGGGAGAGTCTTACGGGGCGATCAGGTGCAACTGCGATTTGAAGTGAGCAGTAGCGGGCCCTAGAAAAAAAGGTCATGGCATTTGTCTAATGGACCTTTGACCCTTTCACTGCTGGATTTTTTTTTCTGACTGCTCCTCACCCCCTACGGGTTTTTTTTTTGCACATTGATTCAGTAGAAATTTCATGCTAGTATGCACCATGATGCTCCGCAGGACATCTCACCATATTTATTTGGGATTATCTAAATAAAAAGGTCTTACTGATTACAAATGATTAATGCAACAATCAACAAAATAATTAGCTGCGAATTAGGATGTCCAGCAGTTTAGAAAACTTTTTTTAGTGTGAAACTGTTCAAAACAAGGCACCACACAAAGCGGCACCTGGCAGCTAGAACACACATAGCAAGATTCCCTTCCCAGCTTTCGTCGCATTTGTGTCTGAGTGCATACAAGGCAGACTCATGTTGGGTTCTGTTTCGCTGCAGTTGGCGGTATTTGAGACGGGAGGTGACACCCTGTCGGCCACGTCAGATGTTCACCTTTTGACTGGCGTCCTCCCTTTGACTTCGAGTTTCTCTCGTAGAACTTCTCGATTATCTGGCGGACTAGTTCAAGCCAAAAGTCCGCCATGCTCTTTTTTTTTTTCTTTTTTTTAAGGGAAGCGGTTATTTTTGAGTGTAATGCTGTTTAGGACAGTGATGCCCTAGAGGTGAAAAAAGTGCTTTTTGTAATACTTCATGGACTTCCTTGTGACAGTACTAGTCACGGCCACAACCATATCTTTTTGGTCCACAGCTCCCATGCGCAAGTTGCGCTCAGCGACGCACCGGGGTGTCTCTTTGCTTTCGCCAGTCTTCTCGTCCACCTTTGCTTACTCTACCATGCCTCTATGCATGCTTCATTGCAAGCCTGTGCACTTCAGATTTGTCCTTCCAGCAGACAGAGAGAAGCCGGTCATTGCACATCTCACTGGTTTCCCCTTCTTGCAGTATCTTGTCTTTGTGTGAGACACCTTTCCTGTTCTTCCGCACTGTACCGCAGGCATGGGTCTTGTTTTTCGAGATGGTAGGCGAACATGGCCAGACTAGTGTACCAATTATCAACCCAGAGTATGTGCCCCTTGTCCAGGTACTTGTTCAACAAAGTGAGAACAACTTATGCTCCATACCCTATCTCAGAGTTGTTGATTTCAGTTGAGAGTCCGGCATACATCACTATGTCCAGCACTGATCCTGTCTTTACGTTACAGAGTACAAATGATTTTGGGCCAAACCTGCTTCGTTTGGACGGGATATATTGTTCGAACGACAACCGCCTGTTGAAAAGCAGCAGGCTTTCGTCAATGCAAAGATACTGGAAGGGAGATGGGGGCCTCTTGAAAGTTTTTTGGTGCCTCTTGAAAGTTTTTTTTCGCGGCGTCGAGAGGACCAAGTGCACCTTGTGCAGCCTGTCGCCATTAATCTGATGTTCATTATCGAAGAAATGAAGAAGCCTCTAGATGAGGAGGGACCAGTTGCAACTCATCAACTTTGAAAATGCGGGTGCACTAAAGAGGAGATTCATTGGCCGGTACTCAGCAATGGTGCCCTTTCTTGCGTGTGCCATGAGCATTATGACTGCAAGAAATATGTATAACTCGCATGGCGTCGCATCTTTCCACTGCTGTATATGGGATCCGGCCGCTTGTGTTGGTGCGGGAACTATTTGGCGCTGGAAAATGTTTGTCTGCTCCACAGTTGCATCCACACTATCCAGTGTTGCCAATTTAGCGGTTTTCCCGCTAAACTTAGCGGTTTTTGGTTCTGTTTAGCGGGATAAACAATTTTTTTGCGGGCGGCGAGATTTTTAGCCGGTTTTATGTAATCTTGGCGGTTTTTTTTAGAGATATAGAAGTTTTATATTGATTTACTGTCGACTATGCACCTTTCATATCCATAATAATAAGGATAATAAGCCACAGTCGTCTTCGCTTACTCTGAGTAATGTTCTGGTTTGTGAGGGTAACGCCTGTGACGTCATCAAAACATTAAGGCGTCAAATATCGGAACATGCCTCCCTGTTTTGTGCACACACGTTTGAACAGCATGAATGTTCAAATTTTCCTTTGACGTTTTTGTCACTGTTTCGTGAAATGGGTGCGATGAAGTACGCTCAAAAGTTTAGAAAAGACTAGCTATAAGACCCCAAACCTAAAGACTGGCTACTGGAGGTTCCTGGTGATATCAGACGAGCCAGGTGCCGCTATTTCAACACGGAACTATCTGCGAATAATGTGGATTTGGTCGCGCACGCTGCAACGAAGAAGCATGTTTCGGCCGCTGCACCTTTCTCCTCTGGTAGCAGATGACTGTACGAGTTGAACGGGTCAGACTAGTCACGTACTGCTGAAGGGTCCCTTGCCATGTTCGTATGCGCTCACTCTGCAATTTTGGCTTCGGATCACCTGGGTGAACTGTGGCGTGGCGTGACAGATTTTTAGTCAAAGGAAAAGGAAAGCTTCCTTTCAGATGGCATTGATGTGATCTATATTGTTATTATACCTTTGTCAAACATTAAAGAAAAAAAAAAAAGTTTAAAAAGTTGTTTTGCACTGTGTTCGGGATTTAGCGGTTTTTTAGCGGTTTTTAGGATTCCGACTGCGGGTTTTAAATTTTTGAGTTGGCAACACTGACAGTATTGGATGTAAAAAAACTTTAAATAAAAAATTCTGAGGGCACTTAAGCGCTTCTTATGAGTTGTGAAATGGGAAAGCATGAATGTTGTTCTTCTGCTCCCTTAGTTTGTCTGCGGTGTATTGGCGGAGATGGCCATGTTTCGCTACTGCCAAGGTTAGGGCCAGCGGCCGAGCGCGCGTTCTCATGAAATGGCAGCAGCCCCCCCTCGTCCTCCGGCAATGCCCGACATGAGAGCGGCAGCCGAGCGCGCACTCGTGAAGCGGCTGCCAGTGGCTATCTAGGAGCCGTTTTAGTCAACCAATGGGAGAATGGGCATTTCTTTCGCGCTTTTTGCAGTTACAGACACCGCCAGCTCTACTCCGTGGGATTGTTAATGCTTTCGCATTAAAAATCTCGAGCTCACTGGACCTTGCTGTGATGCCGTTACAGATCCCTAAAGATGATGGGTCAAAAGTGTGCTCCTGAGGCTTGAATTTTTTCTTCTTCCAACAGTAATTCTGCTCGTCATGTTTCCTCTTCTTGCTCAGATTTTTTGGCGGCAGGGGTTCTTTTTTGCTAACGTCGCTCGACAAGTCACTTAGCTGAGCTCCTTCATCGTTATCAGTTCTATCTGAGTCAGCATTCAACAGTTTGTGAATTTCTTCAACTGTCAAAGTGCAGACGCAGATGGCAGCCTGACTCGCCATGGCTCATGGCTGCACTGCCGAGATAAAGACAAAGCGATGCGGATGTAGAAACATGTGCTCCATCTCTTGTCTAACCTACAAGTTCACTCTGTTAAGGTGAGCTCTCCATAGAAGGCGGAACATGACCGCATTATTTTTTTTCATACGAGTTGTCTCGAAAGTGGCAAGGAGTGAGTTTGAAAAGCAACATGAGTATACTGGGGAGTAGCAGGGGGTGTGCATGGCTGGTCTCCCGAGATATCTCGAGGGTGGCAGTTATATGTTAAAGGGATACTGAATCGACACTTAAACTACAGCTTTCACATTCAGAAATAAGTTTACCATGACAAACTCAGTCTGCTAATGACAATCTCGCACTTGCATGTTGAATGTATGGCTATATTTGTTGTGTCAAAAGACTGATTCCATTGAGCATTTGAAGATCAGTTATCGAAAAGCGCGACGCGTCGCAGGAGCTGGACCAATTGACGTCAATTGGTCCAGCACGGGCAAAGGTGCTTGCCGGCTGGCGTGGTTATGAGCTCCGCCACTTGTATCAACGTGCTACAACCTGGCCGGTTTTGGTTGCCTGTCCCTGTTCCCCGCAAGCTGGGGACCGTGGTGGTAACTGACAATGGCGCATGCGTGCCCTTGCAGCTCCGGCAGCCCCGCTGTGGGGGAGCTACCCAGCTACCCGGAGGTGATTGCCCGCACGGAGCGCATCACCAAGCGCATCCAGGAGCTGCTGCTGTCCGCCAGGGAGGGCAGACGAGAGTGCTTCCTGCCCTGCACCGAGAACATCTTGCAGGCAGGTGTCTTCACCCCGGGGTGTGACCGTTCACCGCCGAAGGACCGCACACAGGGTGGTCTAGGCAGTTCCTCGTCGTTTCGTGAAGCGATGGGTTTTCAAGTGAAAAGTAGTTGCGTTGTACATATGTTAAGGCAGCCGGAATTTAGTGAGCCCCGACGGGTGGCTGTTGTCTCAGCTGAAGACAAGAAACATAGCCGGTGCTGCACCACGGCTGGCCTGGGGTCTTTAACGTGCCCCACCTGGTGGTGATAGACTGCTGTACGCTGGTACGATGCTTGTCCAGCTCAAAACGGGCAGAAGTGGAGATTGAGCTCTGGATCCTTTGCAGTTTGAGTTTTCATTCTACGCACTCCGAACTTTTGTGCATTATTAACACACTCGGCCGTCTCGTCCCCCAGGGCTTCGGCTCCTATTTCTGGCGTTCCTGGAGCAAATGTTATGCGAATCACATTCTTGGGAGGAACATTCAACTTATATACAAGCTCCACAACTCAGTGTTTTAGATGGGTTCTTGGTAGAGAAGCTCGAGGTGTGGCAGTTGACGAGATTTCCCACGGTACTTCGCACCGCCATTATGCATTTTCGCACCGGAACATTCTTGTCTCAATAGCTTTTATATCTGTTTTACAAAGGGCGTGCAATATTCGAGCAGAACATTTAAACTTATCATTTAATAATTCTGAAAGAAAGACTACTATAAAACATGTAAGGAACATATTCTGGAGACGTTTCAGAAAGTATTTGCCAATGTGCACCTTTCTTAGAATACTTATAGAATATTTTCTTTGAATACTAAAATGGGCATCACCAAGTGAAGTGTGTTCGTGAATAGCTTGACTTTAGCATCCTACTCTCATTGCTCTTTGCCTTACTCATGATTCCTTGCGTGGGAGCCAAAGCATTTAACTAAACTGTCTCGCTTGTTGTGTCAGGCAGTAGTATTTGTACAGTTTACGCTCATTACAACAGACCTGGTTACAACAGACATTTGGATATAACATACAGATTTGTGAACTTCGGTTGGTTTCCCTTTACATGCCATTGACTCAACTTCCTATCTGCATACAACATACTCCTCTTACAACAGACCGAAACCTTGGTTAAAATCAAGGTCTGTTATAACGAGCTGACTGTATTACTTGTACTGTGTCTTCACCCAGTCTTAGTAATGGCTGTATATTTCGTTCGCTCGTAAATGCTCAGCATAGTTTTCAACTTTTTGTGCTGTCATGAAGCCCTACTTGTCGTTCTCATACAACGTGCACATAAATGTGCAAGCCCCGACCTGCTTGAGAGTGCATTACTACTAAGGGTTTTGCAAGCTTGACCTTCAAACTTCTTTTGCAAAATTCTATGAAGTTCGACTTTTGAACAGTGTTGCTAGACTTCTGCACAAAAATTTTGGATATGGAACAAAATATTTTATGCAGTACTAGGTCTCGTTTGAATTCAGAAAAGGACACACAATGGTTATGCAACATTAAAGTAAACATAATCTTTTAAGGATTTAGTTAGCCTGTTCCCGAGATCGAGCTGACACGAGATGGCGTCAACTCGTTTCAATTTCAATTTCCTAGAGAGCTTCTAGGAAATTTCCTGTAGAGCTTTGATTTAAAGGAAAACTGATGTGGTTCTGTATTTGAGGAAAAACACTCATACCGTCTTCATTCGGCTTCGAGGATCACACCGAGATTATTTTTCAATTTGGTACACATAGGATGCAGGAAATAATTTCTCAAGTACCGCCGAAGCCCCTTCTTCCCGGAGTGTGACATCATATTCAGAGTTTTCGGAATCTCCACTCTTGTGCATCTTACTCCTATCAAAGCTATGCACGCACACACTCACTATTTTCATAAAGCTGAGAAAAAGACGTCCCGACTGGTGTCAGTGCGGGGTAATACTACGCCCGGCAAGCTTGCAACTGCACCCACTGTTCTCCCGAGCGACATGCGCTTGGCGGCTGAAAGATCTGGGCATGATGCAATGACCGGTCAGAGGTCTTTCACGTTTTCTCGAAATTTATAGTTAGATCATGGAGGTAGGAAGCTTCTGAAGGCGACATGACGCCACCAAAGGTGAAGCCGGGGGAGACTTCCGGTTTGGAGGGACACGCCCCCAACGACGACCAAAACCAAAAGACGCTCTTGGACGGAAAGGACAGCTGATTTGGCGCCTACAGCGGTTTTGGCTGGGTTTCGGTCACCCTTGGGGGCGTTCCCACCAACCAAGGCCCCTACTTCCGGCTTCACTCGGGATTTTCTTGTTCGGCTGGCTTGAGGTGGTACGTCGCCTCCTCCTCCTCGTACCTGCATGAGTTACATGGTGGGGGAAACAAACGTGATATATTCAGATTCACGGGATAAAAATACTGTAGAATTCACCTACAAACTTTTTTTTTTTCAAGAACCCCTTCAGTTTTCCTTTAAGAGAGGGAGCAACTCAAACCACGGGGAGCGTTTGCAATTTAATGGTGGACGCCTCCCGCGCCGATTGGTCGCGAGAGCGCATGGAATGCATTGTCGCACGGTGAGGGAGAAGAGGCAAGTGGAGAGGCAGAAGCTCCTGCAGACAATCGACGCTTTCACCTCCTCACAGCCTGCATTGCTAAGGCAGCCCACGAGTCACGTAACCCCGGTCAAGCAGTTGCAAACATTTTGTAATGTAGACACGCTACAATTTCTTTCTTGGTGCACTCATAAAACTCGAACGCAAGTCGTACTTTTGTCGTACTCTACAATGAAAAGCTTGAAACCATCAAGCCCGGTCGAACGCAAACTTCGGCAGGTTCGAGACACCCCTAGTTGCTACAGCCCCTGGCGCCCTCTACGTCTCCCCCAGGCCAGCCTGGATATGGGGGCCCTGTTTGTGCGGGGGGGCCAGGGCCCCCTGGGGGCAGCCCTGCGGCAGCTGCTGGAGAGTGCCCGGCGCCTGCAGCGCGAGGGACGGGCCAACCCGGAGACGCAGCAGCTAATTCAGTGTGCCTACGACGTGGCCAAGGCCGCCAAGCACCTCGTCATGGCCTACCCGGCGCCCCCCCAGCAGGCCACACAGGCCGGTGAGGGAGAACACCCGCTCTCCTTTTCCGACAGCTCGAGGGGCGTCTCGAGGGGTCTACAAACATTGTTTTTTGCATTCTGTAGTCGTTGGCGGGGCGAGAACGGCAGGGATGCTTTTCAGTTGTCCCGCCTCCGGCGCTAGCTTCTCACCTTTAACGACATTTTGGCGTCTCGAGCACCTAGAGCACGCATGTGGAACCAAAACATGGCAAAAGGCATGGAGCGCGCTGCATGGCTTCTTTCGGGAGAGAAGCCATGCAGCACGAGTACCACGGCACGAAAGCGTGGCGTCGACATTGTAAACGTGTACAATCTTGGGAAGAGCAGAAAACTCTGGTTCTTTCTTATTACTGCTACCGCCATCCAACACCTTTGCGAAGCAAGTTTCTCCAAAAAAATCCGACTAAGATACAGATACAAAAATTTGATTGTAAGTTGGGAGGGTTTAATTGCCGATTCTAACAACCTTATGACAACTTAATACTATCTGTCTGTTATACCTGGCTTTCTGCTCAGGGAATACCTGTTCTCGTTCCAGGAGAGGGAAGTCATCTGTGGCAGCACTAACAGAAGGTCCACCCGGCGTGGGAGAAGCGACGGAAACGGACGACGATTGCACGGTGCACACCGTTGGCCCTCTCCCGTCGTTGCACTGCAGATTCTGCTACGCAGGACCCGGCGTTGGGCTCCCTCCCAAATTTTTGGCAGGGGACGGTCCCACCCACTGCACCTGCGGCACCGCAAGAAAGAGCCTTTGCGGCGGCCGCCACTCGCGTTGTCTGCCGAGGCAGTCGCCGTCTCGGATCCGTGCACCGTGACGAAGTCTGGTGCAAAACTTGAAATGACTGAATCTAACAAATGGTATCCAAAAGTGGCTACATGAACCTCGACTGACTTTTCAGCGTGCCAAGCAGTTTCGTCTTTCCTGCCGAGCGTGAAGTGGTAATGGCATGGCGTCGCCGTGTCTTCCTACAAGGAGTGCCGCTGCACTCGAAACGGGGTGCCGGATGCTCGTCGAGCCACCATGTCACTAACAGAGTGTGATTAGCTGAATGTTTTTTGAATGCTTGGATTCCAGCATGTGCTTCATGCTTTCCGCCATGCTTTTGATGGGTACACGTGCTAAGATGCACGAGCACACTGAGGTGCATGAGCACGTTCGAGCTGCACGTGCACACTCAAGCTGCACGTGTATACTCGAGCTGCACGTGCACACTCGAGCTGCACGATCACACTCCAGGTGCACAAAACACCGAAGCACTGTCAAAGCTAGGAACCTTGAGCTGGAGTTATGACATGACAACTAAAGATCCTCCCTGCAGTCGTCACCTTGTCGGTGACTGCAGTGCGACACTTGTCAAAGGGGTGTGCAGTTTATATGTACGAAGCTGCACTCCGGGAGCCGTAAACATTGCATCGAGTAGACCCCTTTCCGAGCCAAGTGGCACCTAGTACTGGCAGCCACAGAAACCCAAGCACTCGCGCATTGACGGCGGCGGCAGTAGGAGAGCTGAGCCTTCTGAGAAGGGGGCAGCGCAAACTGGTGTGTTATTTGAAATCCACTGTAGTAGAGCTTCGCTTTAGGGGCTGCCAAGCAGCCGTTCTCTGCTTCCGTTGTGACATGGCTTTGACCTTCGACAGGGTAGCTGATTTAAGCTCCGTTAAATGTTTTTTTGTTTTTATCTCTTGTCTCAAGCGAAAAACACTCGGCCCTAGTTTTGCACAGTGGCCCACTACCGAACCTGGACTCTATCACAGGACGTGCGGCATCCAATTACTTTGTTTGCGACCGAAGAAATGCAGCCCACCTAGCGTGCAAGATATTTTTCTACTGTTCCCATAGATGTTTACTCTGGCACCCCTTCTGCGACACATAATAGTGACACAGCACGCCACTGCGTATATTTTCCGAGAGACAAGTTTATTTTTGAAATCAAGTGGCCAACGAGAAAATTTCTTGTATTCATAATGCCAGAGGTAAAATTTACTGCATGGATGTTTATGCAACAGAAGGTTAGTCTGCCCCAAGATTTAAGTAGACTTACGTTTCCACTGCAGAGGCTGACTCAACTACTGCTGCATGACTCCCAGCCTCCCTGAGATGCGCTAGAGCTACTAGGAAGCAAAGCTCTCAGCGAGCGTTGCTTTATAGCGATGCTCACTAAGAGCGCTTTAAGCCTAGCTTATTCAGTGACTAGTGTTCACCACGTAGACCAGTGCATGCTCCCTGTACCAGCGTATCAGTAGCTGTTTGACAGATATTGATACTTGCATCTGGGTCTTGGGAGCATTTTGCGTCAGTTTCTGTTGTCAGAGATTCCCTAGTGCGTGTGGTTTGCAACATGATTTCGCGACACGTAAATAAGGGCGGAGCAGTAAACTCCTAAGCACTGGGAAGCATAAATGGATCTCCTGCTCAGGTCTAAATGTTTTTATCTCATAAACTGTCTTTTTTTTTTTTTTAAACCTAGAAGCACTTTTAGAAGGACAGACAAAGTGGATGAAACATTTCGTCCTTCTGCTTTAGGCTTGTCCTTTGGTGTTATCTTAGTTTTCATTCATTCATAAACCAACTCATCCAAATTTCTACTTCATTTTATGAGTGTTGCATTGTGCAGTGCAATTCATGACGACAATCTGAATGTTTATCTGGGTTCCTCCCTTTTTATTTATCATTTGCAAAGGGATGGAAATCTTGATGTGGTACCTTAGCAAAAGCATGAAAAAAAAAAAAAAAAAAGTACACTACTGCTAGATGCTTATGCCACTCATTTGTGATTGCAAGCCTCCTTTTATCTTGTCTTCTCCAAATACAGGACTCCTCACTGGCAAGCAGGCCTCTAGCTTTTGCTGTGCTCTGATATTTTGCTGCAAAGAAACAACTTCTTTCCGCCACTTTTGGCCCTTTACGCAGCTTTAATTCAGTAGCCTTCAATGCCGTCTGACGTTTCCTAGGGCCAACTCACATTTTCCCAAGATACTGAAAGCTTAAAAAAGCTTTAAGCGGCTGAAAGGCCCACTTGTGTACGAGAACAGCCGTCGCTTCCAAGTGCCAATTCCGTCTAGCCCTTGGTGTTCAGACACTGTGCTGCAGCTACATGTTTGATGCTGAGTAATGCAAGCAAAAGTGCAGGGTTATAGGCAGTAGACCGACAGACCGTGCATGAAAAGCATTATCCATGGCTACCGACGACGGGCATCAAAGCCAGGCAGCTTTCTCGATCTTCTGTCGCACTCCTTGTGAGGTGGCTGACCGATACAGTTCGGTATGGATGACCGCTTGAACTTAGTTTAGAAAGTTGATTAGGACTTTGTTTTCTTTAGTGCCTCGGTGAATAGTGGCACGCTGCAACCACGGTTTGTCTTGTATGGCCGACCCAGAGGAAATAAATTGTTCGAGGATGTTGCAAGATGTCTGCGTGTGAGCCTGTTTCTCACATTGACTGAATGGCTGGGAATTTTATTATTCAGATACCAATTATCACCTTTTAGTTTGATCTGTGGTATGGCTGTCAGGAAATCATGAAGAGGTTAATACCGAGGAAACCGGTTCGATCAAGAAGATTCTAGCCACTGAACTGGCAGGTTGACACTGGTGGCTAAATTAGATCCAAGATGAGCTTTCAACTAGCTTTCCATTGAGTCTGGAAATTATCGTGACCGTCTGCTAGAATAGGGTTGATATGGTGTTATACGTGTCAAGACGCCACAAATTTAATGTTTTGCAGCAGCGCCAAGTATTTGGCGTCAAAAGCAGCCATACCGAAACCTGTGGTCAAGCGCGGAGAAATCGGAGAAATCTAACGGGAAAAATATGCTTAGCCATGTGGAACACGTGATCGAGTTTTTACACTGATACATCTTCGTTGCCAAACGCCGCTCACCTAATGAGAACCGGCGAAAAGAAGGAGGAGAAGGACGCGCCGCAGCCACCGCAGCGTAAACCAATGACACTTCAATCGGATGACAAATGTTGGGAGAAAGTGGGGGTCTGTGTCTCGCCGAAGTCTGACATCTCAGTTGATTTACTAAGGTAAAATACCGGCTTCCGCGAAAACCGCAGCTGCGCGCTGAGCAGCGCGGCACCTACGCCCCTGCGCGGCACTGCGCCAACCTACGCTAACTATGCTGCGTGCAGGGCGTGCGCCTGCAATCTTTTGGATTACGGCGTTCCTGGGCCTCTACGACACCGGGGTTCTTTGTGGAACCGCTCGAACCGCTTTGTGCAGCGGAACAAAAACAAAGCTGACGAATAAACATCAAACCGCGATACACAGCTGATGATTGTGATGATGATGATGATGATCACGTGATTGACACTCCTGAGCAGCCAAGGCCAGACTGAGCCGCCAAGCTCTCGGAAAAAAGTGTTTCCCGGAGTGAGCGTACTGCGTTGGTCGGCTTTACGTTTAACTCGTGCCATGTCCTGAAAGTCCGGTAAGTCACCCGCGTCATTAGTGGTCTCTTTGGGCGAGAACAAAATATTCTGACGTATCTTCGTGTGCGATCGAGATGGGCTTGGCAGGTTTTGCGGCAACCCTTGCAGACGACATGGTCCGTGACATGGCCGTGTCGACGTGTTAGAGCTGTTGACGAACTAGGGCAGGAGTCGGTGCCGTTTCTCTTTCGGAGAGCCTAGCGTTTCGGCAGACGTGCGTCGACGACCCGGCCCATCTGGCCAGTTCGCCGACATCGGCAACCCACAGCAGGGGGCGCACGAAGTGGGAATATGGTCGACCCCGCCTTGTGATGCGTTTGCCCGATTGACGCGGACCGCCCGCACGAACGACGCACGCAGGCGGCCCCGGACCGACCAGGCGACAGCCCCCCTGCACGCTTCTGGGCAGCGCAGTGCGCTCCCGACGACAAGCCCAGTGGTCGAGGGGCCCCGACTCGCAGGGCGGCCCCCCAAGGCGCGGACGATGAGCAGCGAGCTGGAGCAGACCGAAGCCGAGATGAAGGGCTGGCTGGCCAAGTGGACCAACTATCTCAAGGGCTACCAGAAGCGCTGGTTCGTGCTGTCCAACGGCCTGCTCTCGTACTACAGGTGAGGCGTGTGGTGGTGCGTGCCCACTTGCCGTGCGCTGGCGCAACGCTCACCTGCGGCCGCATCCCCCGTGGCTGCAGGAACCAGGCCGAGATGGCGCACACCTGCCGCGGCACCATCAGCCTGGTGAGCGCGGTGATCCACACGGAGGACTCGTGCAACTTCGTCATCTCCAACGGCGGCACGCAGACGTTCCACCTGAAGGCCAGCAACGAGATCGAGCGCCAGAAGTGGGTCACGGCCCTCGAGCTGGCCAAGGCCAGGGCCGTGCGCATGATGGAGTCCGGTGAGAGCGCGTGGCGGATTCGGAGCGCGGTACTGCCGTGTTCGCAAGTTGCGCAGTTAGCGAAAGTACCCCGAAGGAGCAAGATCCTTCTTGAAGCCGCTCGGGTGCAGGCAGTGCTTACCTGTGTCTGTTCGAGCTGTGCCAAGCTTTTGGGGTAGGCATGCACACAAACTCGCGAGTATCTGGGCGCAGCCCTCGGGCTTAGTTGACAGCAGAGAGCATGGAACCAGGCACATATAGACCATCACATTAAAGGCACTCCAAAAAGCACACTTTTACTTTTCAGTGCAATGCAGGTGGTCGTAAAGTGAGCCACCATTCGTGGTTCTTGAATGGGGGTTGTTGAGGGGTGCCCAGGATCATGTCAGGGTGCACCTAGGGAGGCAACATTGAGCTCTAACTGCACCCCTACTTATTTCCCTCCCAGAGCTATGCTGAAGGGGGAGTCAAAATACCACTTCCTTATGAACTGACTCTCAATCAGGGTGCCCATGTGTCTTTCCTGGAGAATCCACAGGTCTCCCTTCTTAATGAAATCAACAGGGGCAGTATTCAAGCTTTGTTTTTGCTACCACCAAGATAAGGACTGCATACAGCTTAAAACGATTGTTGCACGGAGGCACACGTTAGGTGAGCATGTTAAGACGTGCTCATCTGAAGTGGGAATGCTTTTAAGATCCATCGTACGTTCCTGTGCCTCCCTCACCAGTTTCTTTCTGCACAATGCTCTTGTGCAGGGTTCGTGCCATGCGGAAGGGCATTGGTCTGTGCAGCTGATTGCTAATCAGTATTTTCAAGCGGTTGTTAACTTTGCAGCAAAGATTAGCTATCCGTATGTTTTTAGGTGCTAATTCTGTTTCTTGTAGGCACCTATACTCATATACACCGCGAAAACTAAGGTAGAAAATGTCCGGCTCCTTGCAGAACGTAGTTTCCCTCTTCATGTGTTGAATTAAAATATATGTAGGTGTGTTTTGGATTAGGATTAGCTTTATGTTATTTTATCAAGATGTACATATTTAAAACGCTAAAAGTCTTGTTTCTTGCTTCGACAACTAAATTTTGTAAGAACTACTTTATGCAGCACATGAATAATGTGCAAGCCTTTATTCTTCGTTTTTTTTTTTTTTGTGTGTGTGGCAATGAATATAGTTTGCGACACTTTTTCTTATTTTATCTTTGAGCGCCTATTCGAAATTGACTCTGTGTCAGATTTTAAGGTGTGTTAACATAGCATGCATGTCAGTCCGGCACGTCTGTCAAGCCAGTATCCGCTTAGAACATAATCTCATTGAGGATTTGGTATCAAGCTGCTTTAAAAAATGTGCAACTTCATGACACTTTGCAACATAACAAAAGGATTTGCTCCTCCCTTATTTGAGTGGAAAAGAAAGCTTACATTTTAGTGAGCACGAGGAAGTACATGGCATGGGCAGAAGGGCAGCCTGACAAGGTTAGCCTATGTTTTATGTTAGAGTATGTGAATGTCAAAACATGAAAACCAAACGCAAGTGCACTCTTAATGAAGAAAAAAAAAGTAGTAGGAAGTTGCTCTTGATATGGTTGAATCTTTCACTTTTTTTGGTATCTACACTAATTAAAGGGGTACTCCGCCGATTTTTGAGCTACCTCAACTAACTATATTTTCTGACTCCCCGGCCTTTACCCTTTCTGGTATGCTATTTAGTATCCTTAAATTCATAATAGTTATTGCGAAATCGGCAAATGAAAATGATGCAAAAACAAACATTCAAATATACCCGCCCTTTGCAGGGCCGTGACGTCAGTAGAAGGTAAGCTTGCCAGTCGGGCGAGCAGTCTAAAAATTAGAATATGCCAATCATTTGTTCCGTGCTGGAGCGCGGGGACTGGAGCGAGCTTCCAAAGCATTCATTTGACACCATGAAACTGCTTTGAATCAGTTGGGAACAAATTCTACAGTCCAAAGAGTGAACCCCTGCACTTCCACTGACGTCACTTTTTCATTGTTGCCAGTAGAGACTTTCAGTTTGAAAAACACGGTGAGGACCAAAATTGTAAATTCAATAACTTTGTGAAAAAAAATTATTTTGACCTAATATTTGGGATACTATTTTGGTAATGTTGTTTGGCGAGTTTAGCAAAATTTCAAGCAAATCGGGGACCATGAAGAAATCGGCGGAGTACCCCTTTAAGCCTCCTAGAACCAACCATCTGTAAGATCCAACAGTTTGTCAAAGGCCGTACGTGTTCACCGAAAAATTGGGCTTTAATCTCTAGAAATATTTTATAAACTTCAATGAAAACAAAAAGCTGGCATTATTGGAAATTTTTGCCGTAAATATGGGAAAAACTATAATTTATGGCACATTATTTATTTGGCTCTTCTTCAAAGTGTGCCAACGCTTTGACATAGCGGGGGAAAAGCTTCACCATGAGCCCACGCACTTAGTATGCGACTACAGCCTCGGACAAAGAAATAGTTAGATGAGCTCAGTTCCTCGTTTGATCTGCAAGGAAATAAAGTGTGCTGCCTTACAGCAGAGCCACCGAGCACGCTTGGAGCAGTGCATTTGGTTTCCCCATCCTTTCCGCGTGCAATGCAGTTGAGTTCGGGGTGGCCTTACACACATGGCTACGCAGTTTCACGGCATAGAGGCTTTTGGGCTCTAACGTCGCGATGTTGAACATGTCACTGCTGGTGCGCAGAGGAGGACGAGGAACTGGACATGCCGAGCCAACTGGACAAGAGCGAGCTGCTCACGGTGCTGCGCCTACTGCACGTCAAGCTGGAGGATCTGTCCATGTGCAGCGACCTCATCGCCAAGCACGGCGCGGCGCTGCAGCGCTCCCTCACGGACCTCGAGCAGCTCGAGGGGGGGCCGGGGCCAGAGGCCGCTGCCCGCGTGCGCGCAGTCAACGAGCGCGCCACCCTCTTCCGCATCACCTCCACCGCCATGATGAATGTGAGTGAGACCCCAGGGGGTCAGCATCGAAAGGACGGAACGAGGACGCTGTCCCTGTGTCCTCGTTTCGTCCCTTCACTTTTTGCTCTGCGGTGTTGCTGCTGCATGAAGGCCCGTTCACATGTTCTCACGACTGAACTATGTCTCGTTCGGTGAGAGAATACGCCGGCACACTGACTCCATCTATGAGGTGACCCTGGCACTGCATTTCACGAGAACAAAGGTTTTGCAGAATTTGCGAGACCAAATGTATGTACTATCCAGGGGTCCGGATGTCCCAAACCCCCTCTTGAATCCCGCATGTGTAAAATTTTAGGGCGGTGAAAATGGGGGGGGGGGGGGGGGGTATTTTTAAGCATTTGATATGCTGACCCCCTTCGTCTGGAAGCACCTGTCTCCGCTTCTGGCACTAATCTTTAAAAAATGGTTGTTAATAACATTGTCAAAAGTTTTCTGAACCAAGAAAGGAAGAATAATGCGCAAACAAAATAAGAAATGTATGGATATGACGAGTGTTCCAGGCTGCCCGACAGACAATGCCAGTGCATTCTTCTGTCATAAGAGAGTTTAAAAGGTTTTTAGGCACGCGGTCGTAAGCAGTTGCGAGTGTGTGATCCAGCCTTAGCACGGCGGCACTCGGTCTACAGGGGCGAGACTCAGCAGGTTGGCGCTTGCCACGTTGTGCAGGCATGCAGCGAGTATGTGCAGCTGGCCCAGAGCCAAGGGCGCAAATGGGTGCGCATGCTGCAGCACGAGCACGAGCAGTGCCTGCGCCTGCAGGAGATGGTGGAGCAGCTGGCAAAGCAGCACTCGCACCTCGAGCGAGCCGCCAAGGAGGCTAGCCAGCCATCCCAGCACAACTCCTCTTCCGGTGAGTCGCGCACAACGCCCGAAACGGGGCCCATCCAACTAGTCCGAAGGGGCCGGTTCGGCAAGGAACCGTGCAATGCACGGCACGAGCGTCGGCAGTGTTCCTACAGGTGGAGGATCTACGCGGTTGTGAGAGGCTGCTGCCGTTTTGCCTCGACACAAATTGAGGGGTGGTTTGCACGTGTGAAGCTGGGGCACTGGACGGGAGCGCCGTATTGGGCCTCTGGAATGCTCGATGCAATGCATTGTGCTTCTTACCCTGAAGAAAGAGCAATGCATTGTTGTTGCAGCCAACGCCTGGTGCTGTCGGAAGCGCGAAGAAGCGCGAAGCTGTAAAAGTCGTCGTACAACTGGTGAAACCTGAGATAAGAATTGATTTGTGTAGATCTAACTGTACTAACAAATATTGCAAGGTGGTAGCAAACAAATTTAGTAAGACTGGGTAGTTACATGGGACAGTTAAATAGTAAATAAGGTTTTCTTCAACCTTTGGCTCTGAACAGGTTGAGCCCCGGTTGAGATGTTGGTGAATAAGAGAATCAAACTTTTTTTATAAAATTATAAGTAATAAAGAAACAAAGGCACCAGGACACTTGTAGAACAATTAATTAGAACGTCGGTTAAAACAAAACAATGTAAATGCATGTTTGTCGTACATACCTTCTTCGATGCCGTTCAAGAACACACAGCGCGCGGGTTGGCAGTATTGCATACTCCAGTGTTCTCCAGATAGACGTCCCTTTGCCACGGGCGCGAAAGGCAGAGAACAAAGCCCCATTCAAGAGTTTTACTTTCCCATCAAGCCCCAAAATCTCTACCTTATGTCAGCTACCATATTCTTTACTAGTAAAATTCTTGTTTTAAACTAAGAGAAAATAAGTGTTTTAATACCTTTTGTGCAGCAACAAACAAGAATGTTTGTAACTATGAGACCTTCACCTCATTATCACATCGCTTACAGCGGATTTTAGAGTAGACGGAGCGTCCTTCCCTCTTGTGACATTATGAAAATGGTTGTAGTCACTATAACCGAGAGGGATATTGTTAATTCTTGTCTGCCCACTTGCTTATTACCTCGAGCTTCTCTGTTGTAATGAAGGGCTTTGTGGAACTGAAGAGTGCCAAGCCTCCTTTTGCACTGGTCAATGCGTGTGACAGCGTGACTGCAGTCGACTTTACCAAAATGAATAGACCTTTTCATCTCAGTAGTTGCCTGACTGGAGAATAGAGGGCGCTGACGTACTCGCCGCCATGAGGTTGCTTCAGTTTGGTGGTTTTCGCTTTAATGTGCTTGTGGCTGTGTCGCTGTTTTATGCAGTTCTTGCTTAATTTTGAGATACAAATGTGTCCCTTGTAGCACACAACCAAAGAAAACATTGGTACTGGGCCACTTTGAGGACTATGTAGTGGTTTCGAGCCCGAATTGCAGACTTTTTTTACAAACACCTTTGATGCATCTGATTATTGTTGGCGGCAAAACAATTGAATTGATGTATAGGGAAGATTACCATCTACAACCGTACCCAATGACACTAGTTTCCAAAAAAATTAATTAACATGAATGTGGAGAAGTAGGTCAACAGCTTGATTAGCAATGTTTTAATTGGGAAGAACAGAAGAACTCGCGAGGTTTACTAGTCGCTGTTTGGTTTTCTTGGATGCCCAACCTTTTGTGAACTTTGCATACTAAAGAAGTCTTGTAGGGTATGTTGGGCTAGTTGGTTCATCGTAGTAAAACATATAAATTAGCGCAAAAAAGGCAAGGACAAGAAGTATGCAGGACAGGCGCTAACTTTCAACTTGTTTTATTCAGGAAAAGTAAACATATATACAGTTGAACCTCAATTTAACGAAACCCGATTTAACGAGTTTCCCGATTTAACGAACAAATTCGGATTCCCCGCGCAGCCTATCCCGAAGATTGTCTTTCTCGACTTTACGAAGTTCCCGATTTAAAGAAATAATTACGGGTCCCGGTGACTTCGCTAAATCGAGGTTCAACTGTATACACAATAAATTTGGCTGAAGTCTAACGCTAAATGCCACTTCATGGACCTGTGTAACCAAATCTTTATTTGTTTGAACAGATGCATTTTGTAGATTTCGGTGTCACCAGCCACTAAAAGTATATCTCTTTTTGTCATTGACAATGCTGAACTGAAGTGATCTCTGTGTGGACAATTTTTTTTCTGCATCAAATAATAATCATAATAAGTGTGTTGTATGTATGTTTATACGGCCAAAAGTTAGTCACCCTTAGTGGGCATCTTCTGTTTCAGCTATAGATGAGAAATTTGGCCAATGCAGTATAACTGCTAGCCTGGAGTCCCTAATATGCACCATGCAGTAGTGATACACGACCACACACCAGTACTATGCTCATTCAAATTGAAACAGGCAGGGGTTGGGATTGCGAACCCCTGCCCGTTTCGATTGTGGACCCCGCCACTGCTAGCTTTGCAACCTGCTTCAGAAGTAGTAACTTTGGCGTGCCCCCGAGTTTTCCACGAGCTTCAAGTCGTTCTAGAAAGAGTTGATGTAGCGGTTTTCAATGACGCTCAGTAAGTTTCTAATTGGAACCATGTGCCTATATTCACTAATTAAAAAGTTAATAAACAAATTTTAATTAATTAGCTGACTTATCGCAAAGATTAGCCACCCACATAACGTCCCTCTGGCCATATAACTCACCTGCACAAACCGCTTGAGTGTAACTTTCATGGCTTTTTTTAAACAAATTTGTAACGCTTAAAAAAAAAAAACACCCTGTATGTCTCAAATGCATGTTCTTGGATATAACATAGAGTATAGTAAAATTTTCTGAGAGTAAAGGAAGCTCTTTATATTTTTTTTTCCCCTGAAAACATCTTAACTGTGTCATTATATCTGCTGTGTATGCGCACAAAGCACAAAGGCGGTCAAATCTTGCAGGAAGCGCTCATAATTTTGTGTTAGTCCCTCAACATTAAAATTAATTTTTTTTAGAGGCTTTATTTTGTTCAGAATTGAAATATGTAGGAACAGTCGGGGATCCCGGTTGTTACAGGCTCTTACCCGGTTTTGAAGCCCCGCAAACTCGCGACGGGCGGTTTATTATGCGTAATTATTGTCATACAGAGAGTGCCTCATCCACAAAAGCTAACGCATCTCCTCCCTTTTTTTTTCTCGTGTCGCAGAAAATTTTGTTCATGCCTTTTCCGTAAAATGTATCGTTCTAACTCAGCTGTAAGAGACGGGTTCCTTCTCCCACTTGTATACTTTGTTTCTTGTCTAGTTCAGAGCCGAAATTCCCGGCCGTTGCACCTCTACACGCACCAACTCCTTCGTGCCCGGTACATTGTCTTAACGTAGCCGCCTTCCCACATCCCTATAGTGTAATCGTTGTCAATCGATTCATCGAACGAAAGAACAGCTGACCGTCTCCGTTAATGTTTACCTTTTTCGCTCGTATATTTTCGTAGCATGGTTACATTTATCACATTGTCGTTTCATATTTTGTTTTGAGTTTCCCTTCTCTGTAACATCTTTGGGCCTCGAGGGTAGTTAAGTGAGTGCAATAAATAAAAGGGAACCTTCCGGTAGCTTCTGAGTAGGAGCCTACGTTTTGTCGAGAGCCTCGAATTTTTGGAGCCAATAAAGACAGAACCATGCATGAAAAAAAGTAGGAAATTACGGAAATTTTGTCATCTCGTCATGAAAGATGACAAAAAGTATTAAGGCACTCGTTTGTAAACTGTCTCAAGCGCGTGAACCAGCCTTAAGTCTTTCAGAGAAATGTTTGCTTCCACTTAAAAGCTCTCAAAAGATTTCTTTTTTCATTCTGCACTCTACGAGTGGCATCCAGGGTGTTGGTATATTTACCGAAATTTCTCTTTGCCAGTGTACTCTGAGACAATGTGCATCAACAAACACTCTCGGGCCTTTCACTGCATTGCCACGAAAATTTGTTCTTAAGTACTTCATATTTTTGCTAGGTCTAGCTCAGCCCGAAAGTTTGCTCATGATTTATTTGTGCTCGGCAAGAGGAGTGGGCCACTGCAGGTGTGGCAATTTGTGAGCGGCAACACGCAGGTCCTTACCTCAGCACTGTCCAAGTGAGATGTGCTGCCATGGAGGGCAGTCTCTAGCCTAGGGACAAGTGAGGGGATGTTACGGTGGATTGACCTGGCTTGGCCGGGCTCTGTGCATCCCAGAGCATTCCAAGGAAACAGTCGCTCATCTTCTCGCAGCTCACTCCGACGAAGACGAGTTCTTCGACGCCCCTGAGCATTCTGCGGCCGACTTTGTGGTCTCCATCCCCAACAAGGGCCACAGGTGAGTGTACTACCTTTGGGGCCGTCTTGCTTTTTGCTGACGAATCATCGTGCAAGTAGTCCAATAGACAGATCTCGGCATTCCATGCATTTGTTACACCGTCACGGGATTGTTACATGGCAGAAAGACTAAAGTTCCTTCGGTGCATTGCAGCAGCGGCGGCGTAACAAAACTGGCTGGTGGGATCGGTCTATTGCTAAGGGCTCAAGACGGTGGAGCGTGCTGGAAGGAGGGATAGAATACAGAAGGCCTGTTTGTCCTCTCCTTATGCATTCCTCAGGTCAGCGACTGCCTGCAAAACTGTCGCCACCTCGGAACCTCAATTTGCATTTCTGTATCGCCGTGTCATATTTGTTCTCAAATTGGCAGCCCCGTATTTACCGGGGTCTCAGATAAAGCCCGACTTTCTTTACCCGAGGTTGTGGCAGCACTCAAATTTGATCAAAACTTCTTCGTAGTCACTTGTTCCAAATTATTTAAGAAGGTGTTACGGTCGCCTGGTTTTCTAGTTGTTTAGAGAGACAGAAAACACCGTGTAGCAGTAGATGGGGAACCGTGAAATCAGCCGAGTAGTTTGGATGGAGAATGTTTGTCCAGCTCGTCCTTTTTGGGAAGCAGCTACCAATTTTTGGCCACATATAAGTAAATCTTCTCCGCTGGTTGCTAAGTACAGCTAGTATTTGTTTTTGTTTGTGTAAAGCACCCTGAAACTCCCAGAGATTTGAGTTTGATAAGGGAGCAACTCCAGTTGTTCCCCAAACTTTGGTCTGCAAAAGAGAACTAGGCTTTAATGTTTTCTGTTTATATCAAAAAAAAAAAGAAAAAAAAAGTATACCAAATTCATTTTTTCAAAATTGTATATTAACTGCAAAATGTCAGTATCTTAGAGCAGCAGTATGGCACAACCAGGGCTGGGCAGAAACACTCGAAAAAGTGTTCGCAAATATGAATACTGAGTTACATGTATTTTAAGGCACAAAATGCAGATGCTAAGATACATTTGTCTTTTAGGCAAGAGAATATCCCTGAGATACGATACTTCTGCTAAAACAGCAAAAGAGTATTTCAGAATACAGATACAAATATTTATAGAAAAACATTTTTTTCCTGAAAAGAGCTACGTCGGAGGGGGGTGGGGTGTAGTTTGTGACGAATGCGAATGGTTCTTTATGCTTGTGCTCCTCTTTTAAGGTGAAAGCCTTACTTGTCCCATTACGCGAAAAGGCGTCGTCGGTGCTTTGCTTCAAACATGGCCATAAAAACAAGGACGTCTGGCCTTGTTTATACTCCAAACGATTGGTTCGGAAAAGCTTGTAATGGGTTTTGTAATGCGAAAGCAATAATATATAAAAATATGTCATCAAGCATGTGCTGCTCAAGGTCAAAGTGGACACACCTCAGAAATAAAACACAAAGAAAAGCCCAGCAATACAGATGCATCGTCACGGAAGCCGTGAAGCCTGCGGGGGCGCTCAAGGACAATGTGGACGCGCCTCCGAAATAAAACAAAGAAAAGCACAGCAACGCAGATGCTTTGTCACGGAAGCCATTGTAAACCCAGCGGGGTTCGCCGCGCCTGCGCAGTGGGAAAACGTAATGTCACCACCGGAGTGCCGTGTGCAAAAGGAAAACGTAGCGCGCTGGTTGTAGGAATGCACTGCGGGTATGAATGCTTTGAATTCCTGCATGTAAGCAGTCTTAAATGTCTTCGGCGAGTTTTTAAAGTCTGAGGAGCGTAAAATAATGTAAAAAATTAGGTATAATTTGTTTCAGCTTAACTCATACGCAGCCGACGCTACGAGATAATGGTACCAATCAAGCAGCATCAAAAGCACAAGTCACAGGGCCTTTTTTTTATTATGATTGGTTCACCAATGATAGAACACATACAGAAACATGGCAGAAACAATGATGGTGCATTTTCGAGGCTTTCTTGTTGGTTCTATCAGCTCGTAGTGTCGGCTGCTTCTGGACTTAAGGTGAAAGGAAGTATAGGAAAGGCAAAAACACTCTTTATGGTTGGAAACCATATGGCTGCAATAGACCGATCTCACCAGCCGGTTTGACTATGCCACTGCTGCCGCAATGTATCAAGGGAACTTTAGTCTTTTGCTCATACAACCTCCTCACTGGAGCACTACACATTTCTTGTTTGTTCCTCAGCATTCATTAGCTCATTGAAACGGCAGTGGATTGTATTTTTGTGGTCATTTTATGCACTTCCCCTTAGTTTCAACTCTTTATTTATCATTAATGCCTTTTGGAGAAAAAAAAATGTCACCCCCGGTGAACCACATAGTTATCGAACGGTAAAGACTGTGTGCCAAGCTTGACGAAAGGCGTCTGCACGAAATGAACCCTGTTATGCCTTAGGGCACATCTGAAACTGCCATCTTATATGCTTCTGAGCCACCCATAATCTGGGGAGATAGTACAACAGAGCCATACCTTTCCTCCACTCATCTACTTTACTGCAGTTGCTCTGCTAAATCGGAGAGTGGGGGGGCTTTGTGAGAGGAGCTTATTGTGTTGTTATTGCAAGTAGCCTTCTTTAAAGCAGTTTTTTTATGTTGGTGATTGTGATGAATCATGTTATTGGGCAGGCTCATACTATTATAAATTCTGAAGCACCTTGCACCAAGTAGATGTTTTTATCTTTTAAATTTTTGTAAAAACGGCGACAAATGTAACGAAATACCTAAGCCTGGCCAAGTACTATTGCGATACAAGTGGTACATTGTAAATGTATTTCATTACCGAGATATAAAAAATGACAGGAGGACACTCAAGACTGCTTACGTGTAGGAAGGCAAAAGCATTATGGTCCCGTGGGAAAAATGTTTTCGAGTAACATTTCTACATGTATTAAAGTTTAGGACGACGAATAGGAAGACATCCTAGAGATCGACGCCAAGTATAGTGTCTAGGACGACGTCAAGGACAGCATCTACGATGATGCTGAGGACGATCTCTCGGACAACCTTGAGGATGACGTCAACTATAGGACGACGTCTAGGAGAACTTTGAGAACGATGCCTAGGGGAGGACACTTAAAGAGATACTTCAACAAAAAATTTGAAATATATCTGTCGTGTTCAAAAATAGGTTGAATATGATCCACAATATCCGTAAATGACAATTGCACGTTTGTATTTTGAGCCTGGTGGCTGTATTTTTTTGTTATAAACGGGCCCACTTTAGCAAGTGCTCGGAGAAGGCCCAGCTTAGAGCATGTGACATCCGACGCTATCGTGACGTAGGTCTTCTCAGGACGAGCAAAGCTACGGCGAGGCTGACGTCGAGGGGATGGCCTAGTCGTTCCAGCCACCGAAGCGGCTGCCTTTGTGCAAATTTTGGGTGACTGGTTAATCTTTTATAATCTTGTAGGGGGACAATAGCTGCTTCTGGAACACACTAAAGGGATTCTCGGGAAGACGGGAGTTTCTCCTTCCCCTCTTCTCTCGTCGTGGCCGGAGGCGAGACACTCACCGTCACTAGCTCTCAAGGTTCCTAGATGGGCATTACAAACGAGGTGTTAGCGACATCCACCAGGTGCTCTTTGCTAATCATTTAATTCGTTTTAAAGTTCCTTTTCGTGGCTTTTTTAACAAGATATTGTTGTGTTTGATGTGATACTGCTCCTTTGAACACATATGGACCATAAAATAAGCGCCGAAATTTCGTTGTAGTGTCCCTTTAAGGAGGCTGTGACGTATTTGCGTGAGTGGCCACGTTTGCCTGCGGAAGCCGCCGTAGATGTAGACTAGGTCGCCTCACAGTTCATTGCACGACGCACACGAGCACAGATGAAGTCCGAAGCGCACCTTTTGCACGCGGCGCTCCGGCGGTGACATCATTGAGCGTGAGCGGCATGAGCTTGATGATCTATTTTTATGGCCATCTTTTGGGCACAACAACGCCACTTTTTTGCGTAATAAGACAAGTAAGGTCGTCCTAAAGGTCTAGGACGGCCTCAAGGATGCCGCCAAGGGCAGCATCATGCTTGAGCATACGATTGAGCATCGCGTGCCGCTCAATCATATTTTTATTGCCATATATGCCGCTTTTTCGCTCAATGGGACAAGTAAGGCTTTTGCCTTAATAAACTTTTCAAATGTATCTCGATACAGAGATGCAGATACTCAAGAGTATCTCTAATATACTATTGCGATACATTTGTATCGCGACAGTAATAGTATGTATCATGATACTGCCCAGCCCTGGGCACAACAAGCAAATTGCCTTTCATTAGTAATCAAACAGCTTTAATTTGGAGGGGGAGGGGGGGTGCTTTGGGTTAAGGAGTGTTGGAGCTTGTCTTGTCGGTGAAACCTATCTTGGAGCACTGCATGGGCCTATCTTTTGAGGCTCGACCCTGCCCGGGCCTGTTGACGCTGTCTTACCCGACCAGGACGCGGCTCCATGAAATGCCTATCTGATCTGGCCTGGCGCAAGACTGGCCCGGATAGACGTGCCTCAACAGTGGGAGATAAAGCATGTCTCTTCCCCGGGCCTGAGAACAATGCATGCTACCTGGTCCGGTCCTACCCGCAGGCCGGGTCGAGTCTGGGCATTCAGGTTGGCCCGGGCCCGTGCAAAGCTCTACTGTATCTTCTCTTTCTGATTGGGTCCTGTGTGATTATAGTTTGCTGTCCTTCGAAGATTTTGTGTTTCAAGTTTGTTTGCTTTAAGTGGGTTTTTATTGTGTGTCATGTTTGTCTGCTTTGTGGAGAGAGGGGGAGGGGGGTAGGATTGACCGGATCTTGCGTTAAATTGCAGTACCAAACATATCTCATAGGGAATTGGTGATCTTTTATACATATACATATTCACAATAAAATAAAACTGAAAAAGTTCCTACAAAAAATTTATTTCTAAGTAAAAAAAAACAAAAAAATATGCCGAGCTTCAAAAAGAAGAAAATATGATACAAAAAAGAGAAATCGCCAAGCCCTAAGAGTAAACCTACTTTTACACCTCAAATTTTCGGAAGCATGAAAGCTCGAATTTGAGAACCCCAAGTCGTCAGCGCTTGTGCCCCTGACGGCGCAGGCGGACGGCAAGCGGGCTGAGCCTGGCAAGCGAGGGCGGGGCCTCGCAGAACGCGGCCTCGGACACGGACTCGGAGCAAGAGACCGGCCAGGAGACGGGCGTCATCAGGCGCCGCACCGCCACTGCCGTCCACGCGGTAAGGAAACATGCCCTCGGCCGCTGTGGTCGCCGGAGCAGATTGGCTTCTGCAACATCATTAGCTGCAACTTTGGGACCACTTCCGACGCACGGCCAGAACAGGGTGCTAAACACACCAGTCGAAGACGCATTCCTGGCACTGCGGTAGCGGGACTCAGGCTCGCGCTGCTTCCTCACGGTCCCTTTGCCGTTTCAGGCCCCCCGAGAAGGAGCGGACCCGCCGGGAGACCCTGTGGTGCGGCGGGAGCGGCGCACGCGCGTGCCCGAAAAGCCAAATTGCAGCCTGTCGCTTTGGTCCATCATGAAGAACTGCATTGGCAAGGAGCTCACAAAGATACCCATGCCCGTGAGCAGACGCCTCGCTTCATTGTCCGCGCCGCGTGACTCGGGACAGCTTTTGCACGTTCAAACCGACAACGGGAGTGCCGACGGTGGTGTCCGGGCAAAGCCTTCCCACCGGGGGTGCGACGTGCAGTTCGACGTGTCAAAGGCCCTAGGAGGTGGGAATTTGATACGCACGCACGAGGCTTCTATATTTTTGTCTGGGATTTTCGAGGGGATATTTTGATTGTTTAATCGGGCTCCACTGAACAGGTATGTAAAGTACCGATGGAGTGACGATACTATGGTGCAGATTTTTCCCAGAAAAATGACCTGCACAGTGGAGACACCGTATCGCGTGCATTTTGGTCGACGGAGTTTCGTTCACGAGCCGGGGGAAGCCACGATAAGAGTTGGGTCGACCAGCGCGCTCTCCAATCGCTTTCCATTCTCTACCAAAGTGACCCGCACATCCCCGCACGCACGCAGGTGAACTTCAACGAGCCGCTGTCGACGCTGCAGCGCCTGACGGAAGACTACGAGTACTCCGAGCTGCTGGACCGTGCGGCCAAGTGCAACGACCCAGCCGTGCAGCTGGTATATATAGCGGCCTTTGCGGTGTCTTCTTACGCGACCACCAGCAACCGAACGGGCAAGCCCTTCAACCCACTGCTGGGAGAGACCTACGAGTGCGACCGCAGGGACGACCTCGGCTGGAGGTCTCTCTCGGAGCAGGTGAGGCTTCCCTGCTATGGCGGCTTCCACGTGTCTCCGATGACCACGTCCTTGTCTACGGTCCATCAGTTTCCACCCGACGACGTAGTACTTCTGTCACATTGCTGCTTGCCGGGATCCCGGCAGTGGCATGGCGGCAGAGGTAGAGACGGCGGACAACCATTTTGTCTTAGGTCGCTCTCAGTTTCACAGTTCGCGGAAGCTCCGGCAGTTGGGAATTACGACGCCGCGACGGCATGACACTCGCATTCGTCGTTCTTTTCTGCCCAAACTTCTACAACACATTGCCAGGTTTACAACTTCCGAAAACGCAATGCAACCGCTCCTGTGACTTAATTTGTTGCCCCTTTGGGACCGCTTTCGTTGGGAGAGCCGTGTGAGACGCCAAACACACCGGTCAAAGACGTTCTTCCGGCACCGCACCTTCCGCCCGAGACTATAGTATTGCCCGGAGCTCCTCGGCATCTGGCGTGGCTACTCTGGCGACGCTAGTCCCTGGTTTCAGTGGCCGGAAGTTGCTATCTATTGTCCCTGACAGAGTGAGAACCGCAGGGCGTGTCTCTAGAACGGCGGATCTCCAGCATGCGCTCCGGGCCCTTCTCTGGGCCTTGGCTACATGCGCGCGCTCGAGATGCATAAAACATTAAAGCATTGTTGAACGTAGGAAACTTGCACTGGAGGTGGGACAGCTCAATTGCCTCCCCGCCTGCTTGTCAGGTACTATGGTAATGTTGCTGACGGGAGAAAAATGGGGTGGAAGGGTCTTTGCAGGCCCCGTCCCCTGCCTGTTGGTTAAAACCAATGTTACTAAAACACTTAATTGGGAAACTCACCCCCTAAAATCCAGACTGCTCGCATCCACCGAGATCAAACTGGATAAGATAGCAGAGCTACCCTTTAGCGTTGAGTCAAAGCATGAAAGTTCATTTATATAGCAACTGCGAAACAGCGCTGCGAGATGGCGCCACCGGCACTTGCGCGACTCGACCTGAATTAATACGTGCAGCAGTGGAGTTTTCGGAGTGGCCGCTGCAGGAGAAATGGTGGCATTGCAATCGCCTTTAGTTAGTTTTCTAATACGGATCGGAGCCACTTTTTCGGAGCAGACTCTGTGGCAGTTTCCCAACAGAGTTGTTTTAGTAACAATGGTTAGGAAGCCTCTTTACTTACTTCGCACGGTGCACTCTTTATTGCGATAAATGAGTCCTGCGAAATTTATCACAACATGAAACTCACAGATGCCATAAAGTCGAATTGATTGAAAGTGGGAGAACGCTGCATTCATGTATGTAGTTGTCGAATACGGTGTGCGTAGCGGGTCTCTAGCTCTTAATCGTCGCGAACACGACGTTGAACAAAAGTGAAACTCTTGCTGAAAGGTGCATTCTTTGCAAGTTTTGGAATGCCCGTTCAGCCGCGTTCAGAAGGACGCCGTGCAAGACTGCTTCTCTGGAAAGTTGTCCCCTCCCTTTGCCTCACAGGTGAGTCACCACCCACCCATGCTGGCCCAGTACTGCGAGGGCAGGGGCTGGCGCTGCTGGCAGGAGTTCTCCATGTCCAGCAAGTTCCGGGGAAAGTACCTCCAGGCAAGTGCACCTCTTCCTCCAGCCCAACAGCACGCTGCACCAAAAGCCTCGCTAGTGTGTGTGCCAGTTAGTGCATATTTTCGCCCATTAACCTTGTGGTGATACACATCTGAAAGTTCCCGCCTTAACGCAAAATCGCACGCACCGCGGGAGGCGTAGCTATTTGTTATGTCTTTCGTGAACTATAAATGTTATATTCGCACGGTGTTTCACTTTGCTGGGATATTTATTGTTTTCAAAGTTGACGCTCCGCGCACGTAATGCTCGCTTCGCATACCGGCTGCTCTGGCGGTAGTGCCAATGAGAGCACTGGCTCTTCCAATTCAGACTCTCATTGCTTTTCGGAATTAGATTCGGAAAATGAGAGCTCATCAGCCGACCGAGAAGCTCTGTAAAGTACCTCCGGTTAGGGATCTGAAGCCGCTGCAATGTCACGGAATGAGATGTGCCAAAATTAAACCGAATGGAAGAAAGGTGACAAATTTTTGCCTTCAATATTTTTATTTGATGCTTCTAAACCTACACAGCTTGTAAGAAAAAACATCTTTTTTTCCATTTTCACAATGTGTGCGTGCATTTTGCTCAGACTAGGCTCTGTCACCTCCATGAAGATTGTGCCAATCATGCGGCACATGCGGTAGAACCTCGTTGACGCTTTCTGGGTTAAGATCCTTTCTTGGCTGTGACATTTTGAGAACGCCGGTCCCAACAAACACCCAACAGTATATAAGCGTATTAATTTCCTGTCTGGCGCATTTGTCTTCTTGGTTGCTACAGTAAACTTTCATTAATTCAAACTCCAGGAAGCCACTAATTTTGTTAGAGTTATCAGAAGCTTCAGTTATCAGAAGGTTATCTAAATATGATGGAAGATAAAATTATGATTTGCCATATGAATGGCTACACATACAAAGCAGATATTCGATGATTTCTTCTACACTGGCCTACTGATCATAAGTATAGATATGCCACACAAGAAACACTTGTGAAATGTATTACATAAGGTAATTTATCCCTCAAAAATGTTGTTTATTGAAGACTGTTCAGACAGCACATGGCAACCCAAACTAAGTTAAGTTTGTTCATGAGGCCACGAAGTTGTTTAGTGTGAACTATTAAAGGGACACTGACAGGGTCTTTATGGCTGCCAAGGCTTCTATTTGTACATCACATATGAAAGCCCAACTACCCAAAACACAATTTGCGGCTCGAAATTCGTTTTCTTTTTGCCCGAAAACCGCCAATCAAGAACTGACCGGTTTGAGTCGCACTGACTCTCTTCTTCATGCTCGCATGGCTTGCCATTTTCTATAGTTTAGACACAACCACCAAACATAATGAACATCCTCGGAGTCATTGAAGGCACACAGTTAATATTAAAAAAAATGAAATATGATACTAATATTTTGTGTCTTCTAAAAAAAAACGCAAATACCTACGTTGATTGAAGAAAAGAAAAAATTGCACAGCCACGTGACTTCGGCCAACTCTCTCCTCCTCTATATTTCTTCTTCCTCCCCAGTCCAGTTTCGGCTTCAGTTTCGAGGAGTTGCATTTTTTTACTTTATTAGAAATATATGTGACACTGTAGCAAATATCGATTGGGTAGTCTTTTGACACCATAATGAATCTCCTGGCAAAAAAATAAAACAAATTTTGGGGAATGCAGATTCTTGGACAGGTTGGTACTAAAATTTGGAAAACATCCTTCTCTTCGTCCCTGTCGCGAAGCACTATTATGTTTTCCAAATTTTGGGGTTTTTCAGTGTTCCTTTGAGCGGCAGTTTTCATAGCAACTTGCATGGACGCTGCGACATCGACCTATGCTATGGCGAAAGTTGCTGTGGAAATCTCCGCGTGGGGCCCGTTCTCATGGCTCATGGTGCCCTTCTTGAGCCCCAGGAACGCACTTCTCACCGATCACCGGTGCACTGCGGAGAAGCAACACCCGCGGAAGCAAGCTCCGTGGGTGTTGCCTCTCTGGAGTGCACCGGTGCTTGGAAAGAAGTGCACTCAATGGGGCCGCAAGAACATAAAAGTATTAATTACACGGAAATGCCGTTCAAACTAAGCGGCGTATGAATTCATTAAAAACATAATGGGACAACCAAGATAGTAAAATTTGTTTGAATTAGCCAAAAGTAAGAAATTACGAGTTTGAATTACCACGAGCCTACTGTACATAAAAAAATTGCAATTCGACGCATTCAGCGTGACGCATTGGTCACTTGTTTTGTCCTTGTTTGCTTTCCCTCTTCGTCACGCTTCTTGACTTCTTGCCCCGACGGTCATGGACGGCACTTAGAGAATAAATGACAAACAGAAAAACAGAACTTGTCTATTTTTTTTTAAATTAAAACTAGGTCATTTGGGCCGCATTTAGTGTGGCAACTTAGACATGGATGCGAGGTAAAAGAGTACTTAGTCATAAATAGTGGCCTTCATACCCACGAATGCTGTTGCGCTAGTAAATCGAGATAATAACACAGCCAAGTAAGTATTTGAATGTGTCGGTACTGCCTGTGTCGCGGCTGACCGGCACGAGGTGTTGCGAGCATTTCTCATAGGTAGCATGTCCACCTATCTTGCAAGTCCCACAAAAAGCTTAGCTCTAGCGAAATGCGGTTCTAAGGTCACCTCACAGACAGCGCCGGTGGGCCAGCGTGTTGTTCTCTCATCCCAAGAGACTGCGCAAGAACTCGGTCGTAAGCAAAAGCGGGTCCGCGCGCCCGGCTTTCCCCCTCCCAGGTGGTTCCGCTGGGGGTGGTGCACCTGGAGCTGGGCGGCTGCCACTTCACCTGGCGCAAAGTGACCACCATCGTGCACAACATCATTGTGGGCAAGTTGTGGGTGGACCACCAGGGAGAGATGGAGCTGCGCAACCACGACTCGGGCCACGCCTGCCACCTCAAGTTCCTGCCCTATTCATACTTCTCTCGGGAGCCGCCCCGCAAGGTGACTGGGGTGGTGACGGACCCCGAAGGCACGGCTCTATGCGTGCTGCAGGGCTCCTGGGACAGCCAGCTGGAGTACGCCCGGGTGGTGGCCAGCCGGGGCTCCGTGCGGGGCAAGGCGCTCCTCGAATCGGCCACCCCCAAGGTCGTCTGGCGGAGGAACATGCCCAGGTGGGGCTCCCAGGGAGGCTACGGTGGAGTCACCGTACATGCTCCGCTGGCGGAGTGGAGTGTTTTGATGGTCTAGAATTTTTCACTTAAAACGTCGCGAAAGGAGCGGACGCCGCTTTTGTGGAAGATGCGATGGGGCGTGACACAAGGCGGCGGTTCATCGCACGCTGTGTCGGCGGCCGTCGTGTCGTCTGCTTGGATACGGACACTTTGAAACAGCGCTTGCATTATAAAGAATGCATTTACTCATGTCTAAGTGGCACACACAATGTCCAAAGGTTTGAGAAGCTTCCTGCTCGATAGACCAGATTTTGCAGACGCGAAGCGAAAAATATGCGCCGTCCCCAATGCGGCTTTCCCGTGAGCACGGAAGTCAAATTTGCCGCACTTGACCCCCCCTCCGCCAAGGACGGGTTGGCGCAAAAGGAAAAGGAAGGTGACACTCTGGCCCGTCCGCCATTTAGTTACTCTGGGTTATGTAAGGGTCGTGGCCAGGTTCCCAAATTCGGTCGTTTGCAGTTTGCCCCTTTGTTGGGACGAACCAGGGGGCCGTGCATGGCGTTGGAAGAGGTCGGCTTGTGGCGTCTCTTAATTACGTCCGCACCACTTCATTTTTGCTGGTATGCCATTTCGCGTGCCCACGAGGTTGAACAGAAGTGTTGATCTGCAAAAGCGTAATAAACAATGTACCCTATTTCCTCCGGACCTGGTGTATAGTCTATAGGAGCAAATTTTGGCCGAAAACCAAAAGGTTTACCTTGAGAATCCGAATTGTGTATTCCACAGACAAAAAAAAAGGTTCTTCTACAGAACACAATTTCAAAAATGCCCACTTTGTTAGTGCACAAATAAGCTTGTAAGAATCATGATTAACATATCAGTCTTTCACAAGATCCGTATCACCTCGCCATAATGCAGGGCTTGTCATTCTTTTCCGTCCCAGGGAACTCCGGTAAACCTCAAAAAGTCCCAAGGATCCTCCCCTCCCCTTTTTGCCAACCGATCATACTGGGCAATAAATGTGTTTAGATAGTGAGCAAGAGTTTATTGCAATGACAGAATAAGATGAAATCCAGAACTACAGACAGAATGAGAAGGCAGAGGGGTTAACCTGGGGCACAATGTAAAATATATATACATATTGGTGCGAAGAGGGAGTTGCTTTGTCCGCAACACCAACTCAGTCCATGGTTCAGTCCGTGGAAGGTTAAACTAGGGGAGGGCACTACAATTTGGGTGCTCGCAGAACCCATGAGACCAGCTCGCGGAACCCCTGTTCCACGGAACCCAGTTTGAGAACCCCTGTTAAATGCATCATTTTGAAAAGACAAATTTTTGTATAGTCTGCACCTGGAGACAGCCTGCACCGCATAAAAAGTCAACTTTTAAACATGTATAGTTCGTGGACTAGTCTGGAAAATATGGTACCCCTTTAGAAGTTCCTCTTTCGGACTCTCAGTGAGGTGGCGGCATGGTGGCCTTGTAGGTGCTTGCATACATAGAAAACTGAAATGCAGAAAAATGGGCCATGCACCCGTCTCGTGGAGGGGTACCTTCGATGGTCACCTTTGAAGGCACCTCACTGCCTTTGTTTCGTTCCTTTTTCTGATTGGATGCCTATTTGGGAGGTCTGTGTGGCAACCGTCTGGTGGCCTTGCGTAGACACCGTAAGTCCAGTAAGATTGGATGTCTACTGAGCGTCCCCCGTGGGGCCCCCTTTCTCACAGCGAGGAGTATGAGCGCATGTACAACTTCACGGTGCTGGCGTGCCAGCTGAATGAGCCGGAACCCGGAGTGGCCCCGACGGACAGCCGGCAGCGCCCGGACCAGCGGCTGATGGAGGAGGGCCGCTGGGACGAGGCCAACCAGGTCAAGCTGCAGCTCGAGGAGAAACAGCGCGCCACCCGCCGCCAGCGGGAGGCCGAGGCGGAGGCCGCCGCCGCTCAGGGTGGGTGACTTTGGCTACCCCCTGCCCTTGCGGTACCCGGAACGCCTCTCCGACCGGTGCGCTCAGGATCCCACTCCGCACTCGCGTCTAAAGTGGTCCCAAAGTGGCAACAATTGACCTCAATTGTTGCTAGTTCGTGTTGGCCAACAAGCATGGCCAACGCGAGCATCACCGTCGTCACGGCGTTGCAACTCCTGGCCGCCGAAGCTTCCGCAGACTGTCGAGTTGGAGAGACTTGTGGCAGAACAGCCGTCTGCGACATCCACCATCGCTGCTGTGACACCACCAAGGTCGCGGTCGCTGACGGCACAACACGTTTATGATGTCCTCAGGCAGAAGCCGAGGGACCACTTTTTTGGACCGCAGCAAACACACCGGTCGGAAACGTGTTCCAGGTACCATACCCAAACGGCGGACCTCGGTGCATCAATAACGATGATGATATTATCATTGTAGTCATTTATTTTTTGTTGAGGTCCCGAGCACGGCTTCCCCGCAGGGCGCCCGTACGTGGGCTATGAGCCGGTGTGGTTCAAGAAGGAGACGGACAGCATCACGGGCAACCCGATCCACGTGTACCAGGGACAGTACTGGCTGTGCAAGGAGGAGGGCCGCTGGGACCGCTGCCCGGCCATCTACCTCTGACACCGCCCGCCCCCCCCACCCCCCCAAGGTGCTCTGGCGGCGGGAAACCCCGCCACCCGTTACGCCCCCGGAAAGAGGAGGACGCTGCTCCTGGACGTTTTTATTCCGCTGTGGTCGAGGATTTTACATTTGCAGGCGTCCGACTAACGTCACCCGAGGGCTTACCGGGCCTCCGAACGAACTGCGCGAAGCAGGGGAGGCAACGTCGTCTGCCTGAATGCCCGCGAGTCGTAAAGGTCGGGAAGAAAAGGTTATTTTTGTAGATGCCGCGGCGATCGTCCGGGGCCGATTCGATCGACGGTTGTGGAGCGAGCAACTTATATTCACTGTTTTCTCTCGATTACAACAAACGATTATACACAAATAAAGGAACAAATCTCGCTGTGCCGTGAGACGCGTGTGCTGGTTGTCGGGTACTGTCGTGCTGAACGGGCGTCTTTTGAAAATTGCGAGAGGGGATCGTTTTCTGTCTGCGATGTTGGCCGAAGGGTGGTCTTTCTGAAAGGCCGCTCTGTGGCAGATTGTGGCGGCTTTTTTGTCTGCCTCGAGAAGGGTTGTCTTCGGAGGCCCGGCCCCCTCGGGACGTTGTTGCAAGGCGTTGTTGGGAGTCCGTACTGCTTCTACCAAGATATAATATTTAATTGCCGAGAGAGGCGTCCCGACTATTGCTAAGTTTTGTATATTAGGTAGACAGCGATGGTATGTACAAATAAAATAGCTTCTAAACATTATCCGTCTGGCTTTTCATTTTGTGGTGCGATTGCGGCAACGGAGGTGATGCGCCATTTGCGCCGAATTACCCAATAGACCTTTTGCAACTAGTTGTGGAAATGTCCTTGCCTTCGTAACGTCTGTCGCATGACACCAAGGGGAGAGAAAGTTGCTCGCTTGCACCTACTCAGTCACTTCCGAGGCTGCCTCTGCAGTTTGCTACAGCCAGTACTATACAGCCAGCTCCCAGCACCCCATTCAGTGACACAAATGCCACTGCTTACGTTGGCAAGAGGTCTACCATGGGCACATCTGCTATATGCCGTGCCAGGATGCCATTTTATATCGAAAAAGGCTCAGTGTTGGGAAGTACTCCAAGCACATTGTACTTGCAGTACTACTGTATATCACTTGAAGTGGGAATTCCCGAGAAACGAGAACAGTGTTTTTCGGCTCTGATAAATGAACTAAGTATAGTGGAAAGCTTAAACTTTGTTAGAATGTGACGCTAGCCATTTGAATAGAACATGAAAGTTTGAGAATATGACGTTTCTAGCTAGATCAAAAGAGAATTGAGAAAAACAATTTCTCTATACAAGCCGGCATCCAGCTAAGCCCAATATTATCAAAGTAAGAGATGACTCTGTGGGTGTCTGTAGTATCTATTTCAGTAAAAAAATCTTTTCAACAAAAAAAAGCTTTTTTTTTCTTTTTTTTTTTACTGAAATACATTACACGGTTTTAATGTCATTCCTTGTTTTAACAATATTAGGCTTAGGTGGACGTTGGCTCAGAAATTTTGACCAAGGTAACGTCATGTTTGCAACCTTATGGTTCTATTCCAACCCCGTGTGTCATATTCTTGCGGAGTTTGAACTTTCTGCGATGCGTAGTTCATTAACCCGAGTTTAAAAACAGTCTTCTCATTTTTTAGGAACTCCCTTCATATTCTCAGAGTACGTACCTCAAATATTTTTTTTCTGGTACTTTCCAAGAAAAGTACAACTCCCAACTTCAAAGTACATTCCCCAAATTTTGTCGTTAAATTTTTATTACAAAGTGATGCATTGTCAACAAATAAGTGCCTTGTAAGTTGATTGTATTGAATAATTCGTCAGCGAGAGTAAATCAACTACTCTGCGATCAGTTGACTATATAATGTTTGCCGCCATTTCCGTAAAAAAAATCCGTGGACACCTAAGCACTTATGAGTTGTGAATGCGAAAGCATGAATGCCGTTATTCCGCTCCCTTAGTTCGTCTACGACGTAGTGGCGAGGACAGCCACGTCTCGCCGGCAGTAGACGAGAGCGCGCGCTCGTCAAGTGGCCGCGTTGCGCTGAGCTCGGCCGTGCACCCTCTACGTAGTTTTGCCCAGGCGGGCTCTGCGGCAAGGCGGCCAGGCCAGCCAGGCCCGCACCGCCGCACTTCTTACCGGCGACCGGGGCGCTGCGTATGCTGCACCGCCTAGAGTTCCTATACAGGAACTCTAGCCTCTACAGGAACTCTAGCACCGCCATGAAGAGGGCCTCTTTGGTGGCGTTTCTTGGGACTACGCCGCTCAAGAGCCAATGGGAGCCTCGTTACATTATGCGCGGCTGCCAATAGAGACAACATTGGGACAGGGGAAGGGTTCGTTCGGCGCGGCTTCAAAGTTGATGACGTCGAAACTGTTGATCCCCGATTACCCCTGGAGCATGCTTGCCAACACTGATCGAAGTGCTGCGCGCCATTTGCACGAAAATGCGCCATGAACTAAACCACGTGCTACGTCATGCGGCAAAGTGCCATTTTTGCTAAGAATTGCGCCCCACCTGCACCAAATTTGGCTTAAAGGGACCATGAAGGCAATTTTGAAGTTTCATTTGACGATTAAAATGGGCGTTAGGCATGTATCCGACACTCTTGACCAAGTTCTAGCCCGAACAGACGTTTGGGTGCCCGCGCCTGAGACCCCCCGAGACGGCGGCAGAAACGTGAACTAGAGAGCGCTGCGTGACGTCGAAGCATGACGACAACGGGCTCCTCGTCAGGCGATTGGTTCAAACGAATGGTGCGCTCTGGCGTGGCGGCCAGGTGGCCAGGTGGCGGCCAGGTGGCGAAATCGACGACCGATGTGCAGCCCTGGTGTCGGTGGCAAGTCTGGGGAGGCGCTGGTCTGGAGCGCCCTCGTAAAGCACCAATCCAGAGGTTTCGCGTCCTGAGAAGCATCTCCCGTTCCGTCGGCGTGATGTCGCTGAACGGGAGCTCAAGCCCGGCCGCCACCATGCATGTCTCTGCTCGTGCGGGCAAGTGCGTGCAATCACAAGCTTGCCAAAAATATATGTTCACGCGCACGCTGCACATGCTTGCACGCAGGGGGCACGGCGTCATGCTTGTTGTCCACTAAATGTTACCGAAATCAGACAGTGTTCCTGGGCGTGACGTCCGACTGTTTGTTTCAGTTTAACAAATTTATTTGTAGACAAAAAAAAAACCCGCAAAGTTTCGAAAAAAAGTAGTGGTATGCTAGGACACAATTCTGCCCAAAAACACCATCCTAAAAAAAAAAAAAAAAAGATAATAATTTCCGTTATGGTTTTTGTAATTAAAGCTAAAAATGCCAATATTTGATTATTGGTTGACTTAATATTCAGAGAAATAGGGGGCATGGGCGTATCAACCCGGAGGGGGGGCAAGGGAGGCGCTTGTTCCCCCCCCCCCCCTTCCCCAGTTCTCAGAGTGGGGGGCAACACGTGTTTTCCACCCCCCCCCCCCTCCCCCCCTGAAACAGCCGCCACTGGGCAGGGCAAACATTGGCCGGCGGCGCCCAAGGGATACCAAGGGCATCGCCCCCCGGCCCGGGGGGAGGGGGGGGGGGGGGGGGGGGGGATTGGTTTGCTTCTTTATTCAAAAACAAGTTGGTACGCCACTGTTAATGGGAAAAGAAAATGGTGCAAATTTGTATTTCTAGGTCAAAGCACAGTACTTTTTCATTCAAAGCAAGCTCGAACACATACAACCACATAATCACATACTATACTCTGTCTCAGGAGTTCTGTGCAGCAAAGGCAAAGGCGTAGGCGCGGGCACATGGCTTTTATATTTGCTTTCCTTCCGCGAGTGCTCGTGAAAAGAAGGCAAATGTGAAAGCCAAGCGCTCGCGCCTGTGCTCTTTTGCCTTTGCTGCACGCAGCTCATGACATGAAGTTTTTATAAACGCAGGGCCGCGAGACATCCGCTGTGCTCGATTAGTTTAGTCGAATAACACGTACGAATGCCATGATGTCGCACCCTGACACTGTTTGGTTGGTCCCATGGCTCGTAGCGTCGGCTGCGCTTTTAATTAAAGTGAAACAAGTATAAGGATTGCTCGTCAACCGCGCCGGCGGGTTGATTACCGACACTGTCCAAATTTCCAGACGATGTCGGCCATGTCAGGAACCAAAAGTCGTGAGTAAACAGTGCAGAATAGTAGGATGGCGGCTACTGTGATAAGACAGAACCAGTGTCCTGTACTCCTGATGAGATCACTTGATTATCATGTCTGCCGCGTGCCTCCGTGCCGCCCAAGGAGGTTAGAAGTGGTGCCGCCCCTCACCAGCGCGCGTGCGTCGAGCTTCACCACTTTGCACCGGAGTGCTAGGAGCAGCGGCATACATCTAAGAGCGCCTGGGTTAGCGCGATAGGCTCGGAAATTATGCTCAGTAATGTTCGAGGTCTCCCTTTTTTTGGTCTTAACTGTAGGTTGAACACATTTTTTTTTTTAAAACCTGCATCGAGAAAGAGAAAACAAAACGCGGGTTTATATTTGAATAAATACGGTAGTCACAAGGTAGTTCTATAGTGCAGCTGTCGATCGAAAGAGCAGCGTACTTTGACTTCCGATTGGAACCAGAGTGAAGTCAAAGTCAACGCCGCTAAAGAGCAGTGTCACTTTTAAAGCACAACTATAGGTTTTATAATATATGTGGGTGGCTTTTTTTGCAGTTTATAATATTAGTATTGAGTTTGAGGTTCATGAGACTTGGGGAAAGTATTTTTATTGATAGACGAATGTTAGTGGATATGCTGGTTTTTGCTGGCATTTTACAGGAATTATATTTACGGGCTAAGTAGAGCACTGAGTGTACAAGTGGGAGGGTAGGAGGCTTTATCCCAACTAAAATGTTGCGCTTCATTTTTTTTTTTTTTTTTAGTATTTATTGTAGATGAAATTGCACTTTTGAGTTGGTCACAGTAGAATTACCACTCTACTCTGACCATAGCCTTATTTCTAAAGAAAACGCTGTGTTCTTTTTGCGTCCTATATATTTATGTTACAAAATGTAATAAGTAATGTGCTCCAGTATAAAAAAGCCACCCTCAGTCGTTATCAAAGATAGACTCATTTAGCGGTGCAGTCACTTTTTCATATTTCGAGTGATGTGCTAAAAGATATTGACATCTGCTCCAGAAGCGTCAGTGGCTGCTCCAAACCAATATATTACCTGCTACAGAACCTGCTACAAAGAGTCAAATGCCGTTTCTATCACTACAAAAAAAAAAAAAAAAATGGGGGGGGGGGGGGGGGCATTATGAAAGATTGTATTAAAAACTACTCGCACTTGCACATTGTATTTATAGTACTTGCTTTTCTATCGTAGTCGCCTCAGCCTTCAGCGTCGAAGAAGCGTTTAGAGAATGCCAGCTGCCGCAGGGTTGATCTGCCGCCAAGTTGAGTTCGCCTCTCGGTCCAGCCGCATACTGGCGTCTTGTCATGGCGTAGCTTCCGCATCACGTGACGACACGCCTCTTGCTCCAGCTGCGTTGCCCGCAGCGCGGGTAACACGTGTGTTCTAGCTCACTGTCCAAGAAAGGTCTATGAACTTTTCCGAAGAGTTGGGCGATACTACTGGGCAGAAGATCGAACTAAAGGGGGCGCTTTATCGAGCTTGTTATCCACACAGCCCGGTGCTTACTAACACAGCAAAACAAAGAACTTGACCCTCGCCTAGTGCGGTCTTGGCACGAGCGCTTCGCTTTGACCAGTGCTTTGGACG